AGGGGTTCGATTTCTTTTGGAGCCTCTTATTTTATATTTCTAAGAACTGAGCAACACTTTAACACGGTTCTTTCATTGCGGTAAACCTCCTAGGTAGTTTTTTGGTATAAGTCATGCATTACGAAATTTCGGATTTCACATTGCGTACAACATATTTTGAGAAATGAGATGAGTGATACAAACTTTCAAATTTGGCACAAACACAAATGAGACCTTAAAAGTTTTCTTAACGTTTCCTATTTAGACATTAGTTAAAGGACTTCCTTATATAGCAAATCTGTCTTCACTTGTTTTAATCTATTGCTTGCAACCTTACTTTATGGCTAATAATTTGGCTGATAAGTGGAAGGGGTTTTTAATCGCTATTTTTTGCCTGTTTGTGGAATTTCATGTTCTCTTTCTGTTTTGTTCCATTGCAGTATTTGCTAAAAACAAATCAAAACTTGTTTTTATTGAGACAATTAGTCGAAACTTTATATAAGAGTATAAGAGAAGATATTGAAATCAGTGCAATTGGAGACGCAAAATAATTTATAACATTCAAAAGATGGTAAAGTTAAAGCATTATATAATTTAAACCTGTAAAAACTTTTCGACACTTTCTGTGATCTTCAAGTTCTTATAATCACAATTTCGGATTTCACATTGCGTACAACATATTTTGAGGAATGAGATGAGTGATACAAACTTTCAAATTTGGCACAAACACAAATGAGACCTTAAAAGTTTTCTTAACGCTCCCTATTTAGTTATCAATTAAAGGAACTTCCTGATGATTTGTAAACTTTCACATCAAACTTATGCTGATTTTTTCGAATAAAAATTTAAAAATAAGACTAAGATTAGTTGAAAGGCGATTGGAATATTCTGAACCTTAAATTTTCATCGAATTATAAATTAGAAAATATTGGAACTAAACTATAATGAAGTAAAAAGAAAATCTCTTCTTTACCTCTAGTTCATTTTATTAGTTGCCTAACAAAGAATTTTCTTATTATTCTTCAATCAAATCTCACTGACAATACAATCGTCAAATATTTACTTCCGTTTAGTCAAAGCATAAGAATTATTTGTTTTCGCTGAACTGAATTTTTCGCATATCATTTCATTGTAAGTTCTACATATATTGAATTATGCATATTTCCATTAGCTCATCCTGGAGTGAAGTGATCTATTTTAAAGTGGTATAATTAATGAAGAATTTTTTCTATTATTTCAATATATAGCATATGGAATGTATGAATATCCATTCTTAGTTCCATCGATTCATAAGAATGACCTTGATTCAGCAGGTGATTGTAGAGGCGTAGATTCGAGGGGTTCTTGAATGCCATCTCGAATTGATTCAGTACTGGTAGCAGTTGGATTAGCACATATTGTTGGCCGAGGTATTATTCCCACATTTGCTCCTGTTTCTACTGCTACTGACCCGAGCATCGATCCACCGGTAGCAAGAAATGGACGTGTAATACTGCAACAAAAATTTTTCGAAAGATTCAAATTTAATGCTTAAAATTTGAAAACAATTATTCAAGAATTCAACAAACAAATAATGTCATCGCTTCCCAATATGCTACCAATATATGTGTCCTTATTATCATACCTTCAACTGATTGTCATAGATTAATATTCAAATTTAACAATACGGTCGTCATGCAAGAAGGTATCACATAAAAGTATTTGCAACAATATGTGCTAACTCACTATCGTCAATCATTATCAATGCATTATTTTTGAATGGCTATTTCATGCTTTGTTGTAAGAATGGATGACATCAAAAGTAAATTTTCAAACTTTTCAAAAATCCTTAACCTCGGATCACACAATTTAGGTATCAGCGATGACCTCCAAGCTTCATAGCAAAATGGATTAAGGAAATATGCGGTAACATGGTGATCAAAGAATGGCCAATGTAGAGATGCCATCTTTTGTCTTTTATCTTTCATACGACGATTTTGAAACCATACCTGAAAACGCATTCAAAATTTATTCACTTTTCAAAATAAAATTAACAAATTAAAGTAAAAAAAATTTGATTGAATCAAATAACTGCTAAATGAGAATTCTAGGATACTGTAGCAGAAATTCAAAGATCATTGGAATAATTTTTAAATAGACAGGTAGAAGAAATAAAACAAATGAAAGATGAAGATCAAAGAATTGTCAAACTTATCACTTCTACTAATATTCTTAATTACTTCTTATTTTGATCGCTCAGCAAAATTTATGAGATAATATCAATGCTTTTGTTATGAATTAAATTAATAATTCAATTCTTAATTCCGATTATCAACATGAAACTTCCAACTAATACATAATATCTTTTTTAACATGTAATTATGAAATTCCATTACTGAAATTATTTTTGGTTCAATAGAATAAAAGCATTTGAGAATTTTCTTAACAGAATGAACATTAAATAATAAAGAAAAATTTACAATAAAAAAGATGAGAAGAAGAAAATAAATGATTTCACAATTTAATTATAGCTAAAAATTGAAATTAAAATTTTAGAAAGTTATGAAATTAAAAAATCGTTTAGAAGTTATCGCGATATATCTCATTTATTCTTTCGAATAAAACTTATCATCATTGTAAAATTATCACTTATATTATCATTGATTTATTTGAATAAATCATTTATCTCTCATATCCATTACTGCTGAATATTTTAATTCTTCAAATAATTATTTAACAAAACAAAATGTTAATTCATTATTTTGATAAGATTTTTTAATTGAAGCTACAGTATGCTATCAGAAGAGAAGAAATAATTTTAATATTTGGTAATCATTTGAAGGAAATGGTTTTAGGATGCTTATAAAGTGGGACAAAATGATAGATTGTATTTTGATAAATTGTCAATTTTGAGATGAATATGGAAAAAGTATTGAAGATTGCTTAGAAAATATTCATAAATTTAATTTTCTCTCTCTCTCTCTCTTCCTCTCCCTTTCTTTTCATATTTCTATTAGCCTGATTATGTATCATGAATAACGACAACAAGAATGATAGCCTAAAATGACAAGACAACAATCATTCTTCTTTCTAAGCAATTAAAATGCGAAAAAGTGCAAGAAATTGGTTATAGAGAATCTTTTCAGAAATCAAATAAATTGGTATGCTATGAATTTAAGCTGTTTAACTGAGAGGCTTTAGTGAAGGAAGCCTATGATTTCAATATAATTTAGCTCAATTCATTTTACTCTTGCAAAGGCGTTCTCTTAACAAATTGATGTCTCATGGGGAAATAATTTCGCCTAATTCTACAGTAACTGCTTTTAGAAAATTGTTCAGTAAGAGTTTTAGTTTTACTAAAATGATCCTAAAAATTGCCATTAATCATGCATTATGCTAATTTATGAATAATGTTAAGAAAATAAATAAATAATTTCATTTTTATTTCTTAAAAAATCTACCGTTGATTTTAATCATTTCGAAGAAATTAATAAACAATGTAAAAAGAGATGGTTAAAATTGCGCAGAAGAATTATGATAAAATTGAGATATTCTTTCAATGAGCTTTGTTAACAGATAAGATAACATAATTTCTTATAGGAAGAAGCAATAGCAGTTGTCGTAGTGGAGGATTCACAAATGAGACAAATTTACTTCAATAACCAGTATAGAAATGACTGCTTCTTCCTATAAGAAATTATGATTAAAACAATTGGAAATTCAAAATATTCATTTACCTTTATGGTTCCTTCAGGTAAATTGAGCTGCGTTGCTAATTCACATCTTTTTGGTCGTGATACATAATTCTCACGTGCAAATTCTTTTTCTAGTCGATTAATTTGTTCACGACTAAATGCTGTCCGATAACGCCTCATTGTACCATCATCTCGAGATTCTGCTGGAACTATGCTTATATTCTTTGTGCTCTTAAATTACAGCAACATATTGCGAATAAAATGAAATTTTGCATTTAAAATTGAAATTTGAATTTAAATCTTAGTCAATCATAAATATTAAAATAACTCAGATCTATTCAAGTTTGAAGTAATCAAACTGAAATTTTGGATGAGATAATATCAGGGAGCAAAAATTTTCACATTATTTTTACAATTTCAAGGTTATACTATATTCCGATTCTTGTAGATTGAAGATTGAAATTTACTCTTATTATTGAGACGATTATTGTCTTCTCATTGCTAATTTTAATGAAGGTCATCCTTTACCGCTAAATAATTAATGCGATAAACATGAAGATTGAAGGTAATTGTGTCATTGTCATGCGTCTAAACCATCGAATAGATATGAGAGAAGTTTGATGATGGAAGAATGGGCGCACATGACACAGTATAAGGAGTAATTGTATATTTGATAATTCTGTTATCGGTCCTTTAGACGGTTCCTTTTCAATGAATCTTTTACGAGCATTAGTTACTGTCATTTAAATCAAGAAAAATGTCTTCATTCACTTCTAGACAATTTAAAAGGATGATGAATACAATCCTTATCATACTGTAACAATCCTATTACAATTCTAAATTCCATTTCCTTTCTAAGGCGTTAGAAAAAGCTGTCGGTTTCATCCAAAATATAATTATGTTATTGTTTCTATAACATTTATTATCAGGGTCGTATAGCAATTATACCATTTTTATGACATGTAAATCTTATAATATATCTGATCTATACATATCGCCGCCATCTTATTATATCATTTGTTCAGAAATCAATTATATCTTTAAAAATTCTGCAAAAAGCATTCTCATCTATTTTGTATTATTAAGTCATTCAATTCCTTTTATATTGCATTAGCTTCACATTTATCATTTCTTTCTTATTCATTTTAAATAAATTAAATAAAAATTGAATTTTACACATAAATTTATAACAAAGAAAAAAAGATTAATCGTTTATATATAATAAATCAAAAAATGAAATAATAATAAAATTTAAAATAGCTCGAAAATAAAAGAAGCAAAAATATTGTTGAAATAAGAGAGGGAAAAAATTATCGTGAAACTGTGATATTAATATTCTACACGACCCTGTACGTATGGATAAGTGTTTAACTGATGAAATGAATTGATAAAAATGATAAGGATGGGTATTATAAATGGTATGATACATAATTTACCGTATGATACATGCATTTTCATGTATATGTGAAAATGAGAAGATTCGGAAATGCTACGATAAGGAAATGATGATGCATACAGTGTTTAAATATTTCAAATAACTACAGATAAAATAGGCATAAATTTTTATAAGTTTAAAATATTTAAATTATGAAGCGATCAATAGAATATCATACCATTTAACAGTAATTTGATATAAAAGAATAAACGGATAAATGTTAAAAATATCAATCAATAATGATTAGTTCTGAATTTATTCCGCCTTATTTACTCTCAATACTATCAATTTTTAGCATTAATGTATCAACCAAAATTATTTATCAACGTGTCATCTAAAATTATTTACCATTTATCATTTAAAAAGTGTATAGCTATATTACAATCTAAGATTCAGAAAGTAAAAGTAAATTGATATTTGAAATTTAAAAACTTATAAATTAAATGGTTGAAAGTAAGATTTTTAAGTAAGTAAGAATTCCAATTTTTAATTCGAATTCTAATTAAGATTTCGAATTCAAGGAAATATTTTGATACTTTAATTCTTAATTATTTCTCTTTTTAATAAATCTCTTGAAAATCAATTTATATTTAACTTAGAGAGAGAGAGAGGGAGAGGGACAGAGAGACTCTCTTTTTTATATCAAAATAGTTTAGCTATAATAAATGACCAGTGAATTAATTGTGATCTTTACTGACCAATTGTCTTGACCTACTACTAACTATCTTATTAATTTCAATAAAAATATCATCGCTTTCGCATATTATATCATTTCAATAAAACATCGTTGAAATTGAATATAAGTGAATGTATGATAAGATCTAAAAATGATGAATTCATTGCATTAATCAAACAAAGGGATTGATTAAATTTGAAATTCAAATCTTAAAGATTTCAATATTTTACTCTCTTCCAATTCATTTCTCTTATCACATAGTTCTCTCTTCTTCACTCATAGCTTTCTAATTCACTTTTAGCATTTGTACTACTAATTATTCAATATCTTACCAATATCATCTAATTTATATTATTCTTCCAATCGGTTGAATTGATGATTTCTTTGTTTCCATTGACACATACACACACATACACACACACACACACACATACATACATACACAGATATAAATCCATCCATTCAAAATATGTATGAATTTGATGGATATCATTGCAATAAGCAAAAACATCCTCCACTGGTTGAATCACTTAAACAATTCTATGTTTAATTTCATAGAATTGTTCTTCCCTCTCTCTCTCTCTCTCTCTTTCCCTCTTCTCTTCATCTTAATTATTCGATATTCAAATTTTCCTTTTATCTTACTAATTTCTGTTTTCAAAATTTTGAAATCAATCTTTAGTATTATTCTAATTTGCATTTTGTTTTAAATTTAATTACAGAAGTTTAGCTTTTTTTATCTTATCTCTTATCATTCCCTCTTTAACTTCTCATATGTTATTTGCTAAATGCTTTGGAATTTGTCTTGAAATTTGAAAAAATAATCTCGTCATTATTTCCATTATTATTATTATTATTATCACAATCTCTGTGCAAATATACGGCGCAACTCGGAATGAATGCATCTAATTAATTAACATATAATTAATGTACAAGAAGTTTAAAGAAGAAGTCTAATATAAAAGTATATATGTCTAAGGTAAATGGATCCAAATGATTTTGAAAATTATTTACAGATAAATGAATTGGAAGCATTTGTGTTAGTTAATGAAAAGCTCAATGGTTATGCAAATTGATTATTAATCTAAAAAATGACGCAATTAATTTACAACCAATCGGCAAAACCGTAAGTAATTCCTTTGAGGGATAATAACAAAATAGATAATTTTGGAATTTATTATGATATAACATCAAAAAGAAATATTAAAGTTTATAACAAATTCTGTGCAAAAAAAAATATGCGTAAAATTACTTGTAATATCTTATTGTGAAATAAAAATAGACAATTTAAAATTTAAGCAAAGGTCAAATAACCATTAAAATATTGAGTTGAAATTATGCTGCAAATGAATGATAGCCAATAAGCAGGTAATAAATGTAGAGAAAAAATTAGCAAAAGAATAATTTCGTGAAGAAAATGTTTTACTAATTTAATATTATCTTATAACTGTAGTAAGTGATTATCAGTGGTGATAAAGTGAGGTTAATTAGGGTCATTTTATTGAACTATTAATATTTTACTTTTTGAATAACTGCTTGCTTTTCAATTATATTCTCAAACTTGCTAGTTGAACAGAATCAATAATTATTTTGAAAAATAAGATTTTTTGGATAATTTGATTACTAATATTTCTTTGCTAAACAATGAAATAAATATACGTTAGTTTGAGATACATAGAATTTAAATTTTTTAAAATTTTCAGTTTAATTTTTAAAAATTTGAAGAGATGGCTAACCTGACACCGATGGAGATGATGGTGCACAGTGGGATTGAGATTTGCTACCGGATACGCAAGGATAAGCATGAAAAGCGGTACCTAGACATTTTGATTCCAAATTCGTTGTTTTAGTTGTGGATGTAGTTGATGATGTTCCTGGATGTAGCCGAGATGACGCTGAATCGCATAGGAATTCAGATTTTATCAGATTTCGATCGAAATTTGAACTTGTTGATGATGTGTTTACTTTTGTGATACTGGTAATAGCCGAAAGTTCATTAATAGTAATAGCTTTAGTAGCAGTTAATTCCTTAACAGTTTCCGTTTCTGGTATTTTTTCAGATATTCCGGCGAAGCCATTACTCTCCCTACCAGTACCAATCAAAGATTCAATATCAAATGACTGCATAAAGGCATATAAAAATGATATCCGGAATTGGTCGTCTCTTATTCGTTTCCTCAATTCCAACAACACAACCAAACTTCAATTCCTCTTTGCAAAAAAGTTTACGGTAATTTGTCGTTTACTTCTTCTATGCTCAACTTTTCCCTTCAACATCAAAAGCTCCGCCCTTAGTCAATTCATTTCAACCAATAGATGACGTCTCTTGATGGCTACATTTTGAAGGAATAGTGAAATATAATTGACACATAAGGAAGATAGAGTTTTAAATGGAATTCATTCTTCCGCCCCTATCTCTTCTCTTCTCTTCCTTTTATAAAACTTTTTCAAATTATTACAAACATCTCTCTTCATTTCTTTTTTTCACCTGTCCTGTTCTCTTCACTATAATTGTCTTTCTGTCTCATAAAAGCTTTGATTAAATAAAAAGCCATTTAGATTATCTATAATTAATTGCAATAATGTCAATGATGAATCATTCATATCTTATTTTGCTTAATCGAAAGATAATTTAACTCTCTATCATTCTCTCTCTCTCTCATCCCCGCTTCCTCTCCCTTTCCATACTATCTCCTTTCTGTTTACCTCATAATTAGATAATGAAATGAAAATGAAATAATGAATATAATTTAAATTTATTAATTATTCATAAAAATTTACACTGTTTAAACATTTCAAACTTCTAGTGTAATTTTGTGCTTACGGTATTGTATATCAGAACAATATTACAGTAGACAGTAGATAGCATCATCATTTGTATGAACGAAAAAGTTATCATTAATTAACAGTATTATTAATAAATAACGATCATGGAATAGCTTTTATATTTGATCTGTTATCATTAAATAGATGACAGAAGTAGATCGATCAATGATACTGGGAACAATCGATTAGTCTATTGATGAATTATCATCAATAATTTTAGTACAAAAAAAGAGACAACAAGAAATCCGTTCGTTCTTTTTCTTTCAACTGAAATCATTCCCGACTTGTTTTCCAAATCAGATATTTGGTTAGTACCAACTAACCAAAATATATTTGTTTCGAATTTGAAAAAGCTTTGAATTGATTCATTTCAACCCATTATCGAGTAACCTGAAGAATATTATCTATCCAGTGGTAGGTCCTTCAAAACATTAGGTTTTCAGTATTTTAATTTAAATTGCATAATACCTCAAATTAGTGCTTGCACATTCTACCTACTCTTTATTGATACCTATGTCTGCTAACAAAATACTGAAAAGCCATGTTTCTCTACCTACCGATTTTTCCCCTTTCCCTATTCCATTACTGATGTCTGTCCGGAAATTATGTTTCCACTCATGTCGCTAAATATATATATAACTTTACAATATTAAACGATCATAAAATCATTGTACCGATTTACTTTTGCATGTCGGAGACCTTTCGGAGTCTCAAAATCATTCCCTCCATCAGTCATAAAACCATATTTTATATTTCGGCACCCAGAAAGTCCAACCGCGCGTTTCCGCTGGCATGCAAACCGAGAGGGATAGAAGGAGAATGAGAGAGGAAAGAGAACGAAATTTTTGTTTTGGGATGTAATTTATCGCTCTAATAACAGACATATCACACCTGACAATTGTGTATCCTTTACAGCCAATAACAATTACTCAATCGTTCTTCTTTTACAGGATTAACTACGCCGATTTTTATTCTTAAATTCATTAATACAAAAGCACCAGCTCGAACAAAGAGAAAGAAAAGATTAGGGGGGAGGGAGGACAGGAAGGAAGATACGCTTTCACTACTTGACCATCTTACGCTCATAAAGTCGATATAAAGTGCTTCAAACATAAAAAGAAACAACAAATACAGTGATAGAGAAACTTTGATTTATAAAAGCAAGAGAACCAATTTGCATAAAGTCGATATAAAGCGCTTCAAACATAAAAAGAAACAACAAATACAGTGATAAAGAAACTCTGATTTATAAAATTAAGAGAACCAATTTGCTGAGACAGTTCGTAAAATGTTAAATGGAAAAAACTTCAGCATTTTCTCATCAAATTTCATGTTTAATGGAAATCTTGCTTATGAACAAATTCCTCAGCATAGCCATCACTTGGCACGCGACAATTCTGCGTGCATGTATATAGCATCAATGTCGCCCAATCAATACTTTTACCAAGATCATCAACGCCAATAAGTGCCAAAAGATGGGGCATAAGTTGAAGCTCGAATTGACGCTCTGATCCGCATAAGGAGCATGGTGGAATTGCTTGAGGTGGTGGTGCATGATCAGTTGCTATCAGCGGTTCACCACCACGACTATAACGTAACACCTGCTCAGGATTCAGCGATACTACCTTGAAATATATTTGAAACCTAATTAATTGTAGACAAAGAGATATTCATATACAGGTTCAAATGTACTATTATTGTTCATTTAGCATCTGTTTTAAAAATTTAAGAATCGATGACATTTTCATTGTAAACCTAATGACACTTCTTGCAGTGCATTTGCTGAATTATCTACTAGATCAAACATTTTTATATACTTTTAAAAAACGAGCTATTAAGGCCAACATCATTATAATTACTTGATTTTAATAAATGGTGAACCTTATTAAAATATTTGAAAGCAGTGTCCTTATCTGCGAAATCTTCTAAATCCTCCAAATCACCATTACCCGAATCGCACGAACCCTTAAAAATTTTTGAGTCAGAAAATTAATTACTCCAAAGAATTATGGGAGAGAAGTAAGCGAACTTGACAACATGATAGAAGCATAATAAAGGCATTAAAATAAGAAAGCATATAAATCTAAACATACTGCTACTAATTTGTGAATTTCTTATATTTTCCCGTGACACTGCAGTTTAGATCACAACAGTGAGATAGAACCATCAAACTTTTCGGGAATAATTACAGTATAAGATTTGTAAATGTTAATAATAGTTATTTTGAACAAGCATCGTCTAACCTTATGCTTTTTAATATATTGCTTGTATTCCTCCATACGTTTCTCGGCACTATCATCATCACTCTCACTATTATCATCATCACTATCAACATGATTACTTCGTGGCAAATGCTCCGTACCCATCTCTATTGCATACTCCGGGAAAACAAATGCATTTATCGGAATACTTCGTTTCCGTTTTACCCAACTGTTTTCATCATCTCTAGAATTAAAATATTTTCGAAGTTCAAAGAAAAAAGACTTTTTTTTTTTACTATTTCCCTCTTTCACCCTTAAATTCCATTTGCCATTTTTACTTCTCCAACATTATCATCAACAAGGCTCACTTTTCGTCATTATCAGAAATTGAAGAAATGTGTTCATTAGTTGAACTCTGTTTGCAGCATTCTCTTTTATGCGACGAACTCCAATCAATTGTCTGATGTTCGCGACTACAGTACCTGAATAGTGAGTTATAAATATTTGCCGTCATCTCGATATCAAACTCTAGATAGCAAGAACAAGAGTTCAAAGCATGAACGACATATAATATTATAATTAAAATATTCTAAAAGGATTGCAATACCGATTCAAAACATGTAAAGGGAATTCGGAAAAGAAGAATTCGCTTTTTCAATAAATGGGAGAATTCCGAAAAAAAAGTACCATGTAGATTCACAACGCGCACATTTCTTGGTAGCACTACAGCCACAAATTTGACATAAATGAGGATATGTTTGCTTCCAGAATGGATCCGGAACATCACCTTCTAAATCAGGATCAATAGGTTGTTCAGAAGCGTAAAATTCGTTGAATCGTGATAAGGTACACCGAAAAGCGCGGACGTTACTGGCGTCATTGCTCTGAAATATTGCTTCATTCATAATTTATCTTATTTAATTAAATACATTTACCAAGATGTATGAAAAAAATAGAAATTTTCGAAAAAGTAAAAATAACAATCAAACAAGAGAAATGTAAAATTCATATGACAAAAATTCACCTGTGAACATTGTGAATTTCGACAAATAAAGAAAAATAAAGTACGATGAAACGAATAATCTTGATCATCAGGGCTTGTAGCATATACTTGAATTAAAAACACCATTGGTTTCTCACAAACCTGAATTGGAAAGTCAAATTAGACAAACCTTATCCTTCTTGTTGCTTTGCTTTTACAACTTTTATCTTAATCGTCACTTTCGATTTCCAGAAATTATCAAGCCTAGGTAAGTACTACTTGCAGTTTTTAAAACGCAGAAAAAAATGTTGATAGATGTTCGAAGTTTGAAAAATGTTAACCGATATATAAATACGTCAGCACTTTATATCTCATGAACTCAAGATCTTCTATACTCTCAAAACAGTATCCGCTTTCTAACATACAGCACATGGCAGTAAAAAGGATATTCCATCCTCTTCGTTAATAAATTTTTTTAATATTTACCACGAAAACTATAAATAATATAAGAAATGTAATGTGACGAACTCGACAAAGAAGAGAGCTATTAGCAGGAAGACTGACAGGATTTAACCAAGCAGGTTTACCACCAATTTTACCCAGTGGCATATAATGTGATAATAAGCGATAGGAAAGAGCAGGCTCAAGCACATTTCCAAAACCCAAATATACCGGGTATTCTGCAATTAAAAATAATGTTGGGCTTTAATTTTCAATAACTTTTATTCTGAAAAACGGATCCCATGACAAATCACGACCCCTATGATAAATCACCACTTCATGACCTATTACGAAAATGCAACTTCCTAAATCCATAGTGTTTATAAATAAATTAAACTAATACAAATCCAAAAAAAAAATCCAATAGTCCCAATTCAAAGATATTTAGTAAATGAATGATATAAGTAAAGCGACTTACTTGAAAAAGTCATTTCTGCCAATATAACCGCTATTATTCTTCCTTCTCCGGCTTTGCTTCCGACTGATAAGCTGTGTAAACGAATAAAAAAAGCAAAATATGAACAAGTATGACCGAAAGAATTGCAGAATATAAAATCGATTTCTGATTGTCGTAACCAAGTAGCGCTGCGATTTACAAAGGTAAGCAAACGTTCAAAATTTAATGAATTTGTATTCAAAAACCCCTTTTTATGATGGCAAAAATAAAGATCTTCCACTTTATCCTTCATACAAAGAAATCTTTCCAGGAGTTCCAAAACTTATTTCAAGTTTCACTGGAACGTATACCGTTCACCTGAGATTGAGTATTATAATGGATATGAAATTTTTTGCACACAATGCATCTTAGCTTATAACATGATGGAAATTCTCATTTACTGAAATCCGTGCAAAATCTTCCAGTCATTTGTTGAATAACCCTTCCTCTTGGAACGAATATTTACCTTCAAAAAAGAATTTTTTTAAAAAAAACATAGATCCCAGTGGGACTATTATAATCGTTATCGAATACGTTAGCAAATTTTTCACTGATGTTCGAACAGTTTCGTCGCGAAAATTAGGAATAAATTGGTCCATCAAATGTTGAATAGTCTAAATTCTTGGATTGAGAGATCCTGCAAATAATGTAACTTGTTTGGAGGGATCAAATCTTCAAAGAATTAACAGATATTTACAACTTATTTGGTCAGACACCATAAATACAATGCAACTGATAGAGTCAACTTCTTTTAATATTTAATTCTCGTTTGAACTTTCCTATCCATTTTAAAACGAAGCACGTTTCCATCAAATGTAGAACCGTTCAAACAGAATCTTTCTTTCAGTACAAAACAATGAAATGAAGTGTTTTATCACCAAATTTTTGTCATCAAAATATAGCTTGTAAAATAAAATATATTCACTTAGAAATGATAGTAAAAACCCGCAAATGTTGCATTAAGTATTCCTTCACAAGTAGACAACAACATCTCAGCTGGTATAACACTTGCAAACATTGTTTATATATAACTGTTAATGTATGAACACAGGAAAATTTATCCATCCTAATGTATGAAGATGAAAAATTTATTTAACACTTAAAAATAAGGTTCAAAAATATTTTCTACGTACTTTCCCATTAAACCATACTTTATTTCACCTGACTTATTTCATTAAGTTTATGATCAACCAATAAATGTGCTGATTTATTGGTTGATTATAAACTTAGTAGAAGTAGGAAGGACAAAATTTCCCTTCTTGTACTCTGCAGTCGAAACTAGTTTTAAATAATGAATAATTTCTGACGAAATTTGTACAACAGATACAAAAAACGGAAATGTACTGCGCTTACTATTTTTCTTACAATAAATTTTCACAAAAATGAAGGATTGAGAAAAGGATTGACAAGTAAGACATACATCAAACAGCAAAGATTCTGCTGAAAGTAAAACTTGAGTTCATGACAACCACAGGCTTCTAACGTAAAAAGACACACTTTCTGACGAATTCGTTTGCGTTTCTAACACTAAGGATATTGCATTTTATATGCATCCTCGCAAACAACTACCTCATGATTAGAAATCATAACATCAGATTGCCATAAGAAAAATATTAGCTTTACATAACCATTAATTCAGACGCTTATATTAATTAAGCATATTTTCTACAACGTATCTAGTTACGCTTTTTTAGGACTTTCTGCGGTTCTGCATCATCTTTTTCTTCCTTGTATGCTACATAGATGAATAGTGCGATCACGAAATAAACGACTAAAGCAGCAACAAGAGCGGCAGGTATAAGAGCAGAAGATGGTGCCCATCCGACAAAATCTGGAGAAATTACATGTTAATTTGAGGAAATCACAGTGACTTTCAAATTGAAACAATTCGCACTTTAAAAAGGCGCTTATTTCTCAATGTATGAAATAAAAAGCATTAACCAAAATCAAAAACCACTTTAATCATTTCGGCGCTACTTCAATTTATGGAACAAATACCTCTAAAATTACAATTTGGTGCAAGCTGTACGTAGACTATATATCAGTGAAGTGGAACAGCCTCGAGTCCCGTAAATTCAGCTACTTGGCAGCATGGCATACTACGATTGAATTGATCCAAATCAAAAAATGCTCACCTTTAATAAAAAGATAGAAACCATACATTGCAATAAATGGTAACGTGAACATCAACAGGCTGTATTTGACGAGGTTATAAAAAGCTACCGCTTGCATGTCTGGTTGATCTATACATTCCTTGTAGGTATCCTTGAAATCTTACATGTCTTTTAAACTACAACTGCACTTCCAAAACGCAAAAAAATTGTTTTCTTTTGCATGTTTCTCTTACGCATAACATAATTACTACCCTGTAGTAATTATGTTATGCGTAAGACAAACATGCAAAAGTGGATAGAAGATAAACCAACGAGTAAAGATCGCCAAGATCAAGTTATTTTTGTGATCCGCATTGTTAAAAACAAATTTGAAGCAGCTAACTTACCCAATCAACTTCTCCAGTTTTGTTGCAAAAAGCAACATCACGAAATGCATCACCAAGAACGCTATAATCATCATCTGAACCTTCATTTGAAGAACCCATTCTCTGAAGTAGAATAAAGACTTTCACAAAGAAAAAACACTTCTATATATTTCCATGTCAATCCATCTCTGTCTTTTCATTCAACAGACATATATGAAAATAAATAATGCAATACAGCGTTTATCGGATACTTAAAAAACAACTTCTGTATTTGTAGCTATACACATTTAAATTATTGAAATGTGATATAAAGAGGCTTAAAAAGAAATGAACTGGAATACCATTAATTAAAACTATGTTTCGAAAAACTGTGAGCAAGAGATCCCTTCTTCCTCTCTGACTTTTCGTGACAATCCATCATTATTCCCTTACAAAAATCTAAAAATTTCTCGCCTTTAAATATTAAATTTGTATTTCTAAGATTAACCTGTCCCCTTTTCTCATAACTATTACATTTAATCAGCAACCCCAAGAAGTATGCTTTGGAATATACACTTTTTAGAACAAAGCAATATTTAAATAGTTTTATTCACTGATAACACTGAAAACGATAAGAAAAACGTACAATACTACAAACAGGCACGTTGTTGAAAATGGAGAGTAAAACAAGGCAAAAAATCAAAAATCATTTGGAAGTTTTCTCTTGAATAATGTAATATTAGCAAGAAAGCATTAAAATGAAGTCCGAAATGCAAAGAATAATAAGAGTCGAAAGCAATTGCCTACAAAATTTAAACAAATTATGCAACATATACCCTAAAAAGCAGTTTTAACCCTTTTCAGGAAAAGTATAGGTTTATAACTTCTCGTAGGCAGTATTTTATCTTTAAATAATTTTAAAGATTGGAGGTACTTTTGAAAAAAATACAAAAATACTGAAAAGTGAGGTGATGTGTGAAACGAACGTAAATTGTAAACTTGAACGGCACAATAAAACAAAACTCTGACTTATCCTTTAAATAAAAGTCAGAATTACCGTCAACAAAGCATAACAGTTATTTGAAAGTGAAGTGTCTGAATGAAAAGACAATAATAACAGAATGAAAATATATAACTATTCGGAGTCAATAATACTAAAAAATCAGTAGGTAACTGAAAGAGGAACATAAAGAATATTGACTTTATTCCTATTTCGATCACTAGCTGGCTTCAAAATTCCCAGGAATTCCAATTCACCGATACATCGAAAAAGACGCAAAACTGGACTGGTGTCATTCAAATCTACCAAATACTCTTGAAATCTTGCTAACCAACGGTATATCGGAATGTTCTTGTATTCTAGTGAGAGGTCAAGAAGAGATCGGTAAGCAAGGCAAAGATCCATTTGAATTCCACTGCGCTAAAAGAGAAAAACTGTTCCCGTTTATTTTTAAATGACTGAACTGCAAAGAGGTTTTTTTCATATCACTTACAGATATAGAACCAATAAGTAAGAAACGAAAAATTGCCCCCTAACCTCGATTTTGAAAACTCAAGACTCGAAACATACGTGTTCGTTACGCAGTTTCTGTTGCAAAAATGCGTTTTCCAAATTCTGCGTGATGGAAGGGATAACCAAATTCATCACATCCTGTTGCCCCACAAGCAGTTTCTTCTCCAAATTTGGCATTTTATGGAAAATTCTTAAGGTCTTGGACATGATCTGAAAGAAATACTGGGATGTGAACATTAAATAGTAAGATTAAGGAGTGTACTTCTTGTAAAAACAACTCTGTCTGTGCTATTCACGTCAACACACCTGAGTGAGAAGTCTAATAAATCTTTGCCGATCATGAGATACCACATCCACACGCTTCTTCTGAGCTATTTTATCCTGAAACAACAAAAATATTAGGAACAAAAATGGAAAATCTTCAAGATGATGGCTTGCTATTAATATGGAAGGACAAAAGTGAAAAATTTTCTAATTCGACATTGCAAAACGCTTTTCATTTATTTGAATTTTAAAAATAATGGACTGCTCATCTAAATCGCATTCTCGCGTGTCCACTGAGCAGCCGAAAAAGACCCGAATCCTTATATGCATTGAGGATTTGATACATTTCCAGAGTTTGATAGGCATAAATTTCCTTTTTATACCAAGAATAAAATTATACCCTCATTCGCTGTTGCATTTCATGCAGCGACAATCTTTTCTTACAAATACCAACAACTGTTGCTTCATGTTCTGAGAGTGCTTCCTTCTGCAGTGCGGTTTTTCGCTGATCAATTTCTCGTAAATCAACAAGCAATTTCTGCAGCATATTCCACGATTTAATAAGCATTTTTTAACCGTTCATCTCTGGCACATGCTGACCAAATAAGTTTAACCATAACAACCCCCTAAAGAATTAAATTACTTTTATGGAGGAATGAACAATTCTAATGGCTGTATAGCAAAAAGTGCTTGCTAAAACAGCCATCAATAGCATTTTCCGGGAGCAAAACTATTCAAAACTGATTTTGGTAATTAACTATATATTTAAACCATATACGAAAATACTATCAATTTTTATAAAGGAAGAAAACCTGCACTTCACTGCTGTAACAATTGGTAATTCGTCTAACCGGATTCCACAGTTTTAATAAACAGTCTACCATCTCCTCAACACTCCATGTTAACCAAATACTCTTCCATGTTCTGAAAATAATTTTATTATGTAGTTGCACAATAATAAGTCTCATGGAATACCTCTTTTTGAATCTCAAATGAGTAGCAAAATGGAATACTCATTTTGAATGCTATAAAAATGTCCAAATGAGTTTTATCTCCTTTCTTTTTCACTAGAAATTTAATTAAAACAGCTCTCAATATTTGTCAGCATTAATTTCTATTTAAGATTACTAAACATGATAGAAAAAAAAATCTTTCGAAAAAAGTGAAGTTTAACCTACGAGTATGGTCCTTCTTTCTCAGTGAAAAAATTCGGATTCGACTGTATCCAGCTATGCAATTCATACACATTTTCTGCATGATATGGGAAACCGGCAGTTAACTCGTGTAAAAGGTATAGAAATGTATCATAAGATGCCAATACGGTTTCCATCCCAACCTTGAACAAAAACATGAAGTGATTTAATTCAGGCTTTTAAAACTTTTCCCCATTTTTTGTAATGTAGGAAATAACTTACACTTCCGCTGCTGACAGCTATTTCATTACCAAAATCTTCGCATTCCAGCAATTTGTGCAAAAGTGTTACTCTGAGAATTCTCTTTGCTTCACAAACTGATAAGCTGTCCCTCAAAAATCTTTCCCTAAGTTCTTTATGAAGGGTACCGTCAACAATCATCTGAAATATTATCGAATAATGAGTAATTATGAACAATAACCAGTTGTTTATTACACTTCCAATTTCCCAAATCTACAAATTCCGGAACATACATAATTATCAGGCTTGATTGCGACGGCTTCACATACAGCTTGCAAGGCATACGTTGGCGTTGGCATATGAAAGCAGTAAAGGGTCAATTTCCAGATGCTTTCCTGCGAAAAGCGGGTAAAAATGACATTGAAATCTACAGCTACCGTTACCACCAAAACAATTTTTCTCTCCCTGAAATGATCTTTTCGACTGAAAAATTAGAGGGCACTCCATAAATACCAATAAAACTGTCAAAATCCATCAGAAACATTGCCAATTTTAAAACCGATATTCAGACAAACTTCAAGCCGAAAATGTATTTGCCATGCGCATCAACAACTAACCATGCTGAATCAGTGAGTACAGAAATTAAACCATCCAAGTATGGGCCTGCCGTGAAACATTCCACTTGCTTTAATATTATATATTTTTTATCCTGAAAATGATTTGATAAAAAACAAATGGAAAAAATAGAGCAATAGTTCAAACTCATTATGAAAGTGAAGTTTGCAAAGTAACTACCCCCATTTTTCGGAGCATTTCGTGGAGATCATACAACTGCATTGTCTGCGATGGTGATATACAAATTGGTTTTATCTTCAACACATTAACTAAAGCTTCCTCAAAATCATAACCATCTAGTGTTTCGCATCGTACCACTGCCATTGGTATTGCTACGGAAGATTCTGAAGAAAAAAATTTATGATCCAAATAAAATTTTTCTGCCAGTATGGAAATTAACTACAAAAACTACTACAGTTCGTCATTAGTTCTTCAGGTAGTTGGTTTGAGAACTAGCAAGAAAAGATAGAATATAGCTAACATATCAAAAATCTCATTGACTCATAAAAACATATAATAATGGATGCCGATGCTGTGATGACTGTTAGTTGATGGTTTCCAATTTTAACTCTATAAAAATCTTATTTACCTTTCTATGATCCAAGTTATTTCCGTTAATCTACTCTTCTCACTATTAACCACAATACAGAAATCAAGAGAAACATTATTAACGCTATTCACGATGGCAAAATTTAAGTTAAAAATGAATAAATAATTGGAAAATTTTTATTAAATTCAGTAAACAAAAACCTGATAATTGTAAAGTGTTTTCCCAATATGACTTTGTAAATGCAGCCACTTCAAAGACAACCTCTTCATACAGTTTGTTGAGTTCACAGTCAATCTGGAACATTAATTTGCTGCATTTGATTTTGAAATCGTTCAGGAACATATCATTTCTGTGATCATCAACCTGCTCGCTTTCCAATATCTTCCGTTTACCTTTATGAAATGTACAATACTCCATCAGTGTGGCACACTCTGAAATCAGGCTTATTCATTTTGCGTGCATAAAACCAGTTATTTAGATGCTTGAATTAATACGTATTGAAATTTATGTCGAACATTTAGACAGAGTTAATGAAAATTGATTTTTCTTCATAAAGCTAAATGAAGCATATACGAGATAGCAAAATGTTTATGTTCACTTCACTGCTAATGACCAATAATTACGTTTAATACTAGCACGTATAAAGTAAGTAGAGGTATAAGTATAAGCAATAAGGAATAGAGTACTAATTGCATGACTGTGGAGGAAATGCGATATCATTTCCATATCGACGAAAGCGATAACGTAAGATCCAGTTGAAATACCGATAAAGGAAAGATTACTACGACTGCATACAGAAGCATGCATGCGGATAATATCACAAAAGCTGAGATCAACAGAAATGGTCACCAGAAAAACAAACGCATAGAGTTAGTCAATTAGTCAAGACAAACGCATAGAGTTAGTCAAATATAAGAGAAATAATTTTCGTTTGAAAATTTTTAAAAAAAGTTGTACGACTAACCACAAACAACGAAGATAAGTTAAAGTAAAGTTGATAGAAATTTAGGAGTAACAAAATACTGCTTAATAAATTATACTACTTAAATCATAAACCTCCTATATAGCACTACTATATATGCATTCAGCTCATTTACATCTGCCACAAAAAATCAACTCTCTCAAAACAATACCCCGCGTCCGCAAATCGTTATTTTTTTCCTTCATAGAAAGATTATTGCGTAGCGAATGGTTTGCATTCAACAGGCAGAAATATGTTATCGCAATTTAGCTATATTCTTTATGTAAGTGATCGATAATATGAAAAAGTGGCAGTATTTCAAATATGAAAGATTATGGAATTCCAAGCTGAACATGATCATTTAGTGCAATTCATTGACCTAAAAGGTTACGGTGGCATCATTCTTTTATAAAAAATTGACAGCCATTACTCAAAAATTGAAAAAATTAAATCATTAATTCCTTCCTTCGCCCTTACTATCCTATAATTCCGCATAACAAAAATCTGCAAAGAATAATACAAATAAGGTCATAATGATCGAGACAACAGTGAGATACAAATATATTTGAGAGAGATTAGAGATTGATAAGAGTTACGAAAGAGCACTGGTGGATGAACAATGTAAAATAGCACAGGTCATTCATTAGAGTGTGAAAAAGGAGTAAAACAATATTGTGAATGAGGGGGAAGAAATGTATTGTTATTAGGAAAATGGAATAAATTAATAGCATTTGATGATAAAGCACAACGTACGTGAAAAACAACAATGATTAAAAGAGTAGCTTCAATCAGATTGAAACACAACACAATATAATTTCTTAAAATGATCTCCGGAATGGGTTTCGGTTTAAATTGCAGACATTGATTTGTTAATGGTTCGTCCTTTTGTTGTTTTCTTGATGACATCATGAGGTTATTAATAGCGAGCGCATCGATGGAAAGCGCTTGGTATCTTTTGGATGGAGAGTGAATAAACGGAAATGCTCAGATTCTTCTCTTGGTTTCGAATGTGCGGGTATTTTTTTAGGAGAAAGGTCCTGTTTTTTCCAGTAACAATAATTTGGTTTATTTCTTTACTATAATGACCAACGAAGAAGTTGTAATTATAAAATATTTCTAGGTGTATCAAAAGTGAATTTCGAATAATTGAGTATCATGCAGCCATTTTATCGATTAAAATCGGATAAAAATTCACAGGTTTTCCGTCACGTAAGTTATCCTATTGTCAGCAATTTTGTTCATAGCACATTTTATAGTTGACAGTTGACTTCAGGAAGACACGTTTGTGGACGTTTGCATTTAAGATAAATATTCAAAATAAGATATTACGGCGTAGATAAAAAGTTGACTTAACTTTAGCGAGCGGTCAACAAGAGAAATGAAGTATAAAGATAGGTTGATTTGCAATAGTCGAAGTAACAGACACTCAATATTAGTGGCTAAAATGAAACAATTATGCCATTGCTATTGTTTAGGAAGAACCCGGGCTTGAACTTCACTCTCTTTGTCAATATTCATCAATTGGCCTATAAATAAATGGTCATATTTTCAGCATCACGTCACTGCTTTTACATTTGGTGTCATACCATTATTTCTGGGTACCGTGGTTGATTATTACGCTTTATATAATCAAAAAGTAAATTTTATACGGACTTTTTGGAAATTTTTAAAATGAAAGATATATGCTGGCTTTATTTAAGCGTTAAGAATCACCATAAGACTAAATCATTTAGTTTTCAGGCATGTTTTAGTATCTCCTCCCGTGCCGCTACATATTTTATCTCTTCCTTTCCTGTTATTGGTCTATGTTTTTGTATTTTTTTCGCATTGTATAGCAATTTCGAAAAAGCTACGGAGTAAGTACAGTTTAACATTATTGCTTAGTTTGAATATGCAAGCGCCGAAACGCTCATTTCGATTTTTTCAATTGTTTTTTTAGGTTTTTTAGGATTCTTGTGCAGATTAACAGATTAAATCTTCAAAGTGCTAGGGATATTTCTTGAAAATAGAAAATAGAAGTAAATTGGGCTCAAAACTTTTTGATTTCAAATTTTCTGCAAGCAAATCATATGTATTTTATGAAATTTTTTAATCATTCATGATTAAAGTCCTTAATCACTTTTTACAGTAAAAAAAATTTTGTTGAAATGATGCAAAAAAATACATTATCATTTAACGTTTAACTACGATTAATTAACTACGTTTAAACGTTTAACTACGTTCTCTACGATTAATTTTGCTTGCAGGACTCATTGTAGTATTCCTAATGTTCTCCCATCAATATCGGTTGCTATTGGTGATTTCTATTGGGGGCGGTTGATTTGGAGGATTCTGATTTTCGTTCATCTTATACCTCGGTAAATTTTTTTGATGAAAGTCAAAATTTAAAACCTCGAGTCATGGAATAAGATTAAGTTTAGTGCAAAGGTAATGACGACCAGCTAAATATTGTAACCAATGCCAGAAACAAAAACGGCTAGTATAATTTATTGAAGTCGAGCAGTTGGAAGAAATTCGGTATTGTACTTCTAATATATTATAATTTTCAGAGTGTTAGCAGCGTTTGCATATGCGCAGTTATTCAGAGTGCCGTTAGAAACTACTGTGCGAAGTACTTTTCGTTATCTCACTTGTTTTCTTAGCCTATTAGAATTATTTTGCTTAGCAGTGGTCAGCGCTATTTCATCTAAAGATAATCATTTTCGCCATGTTCTTGCTTTCTCCATCTTTCAGGTTCACTTTGCAGTTCATTATGTGTTGGTTAAATTTTATCGACACAAAGGTTTCTCCAAATTTTTGGTTTTATTGGAAGAAAAAGAAAAAAGTTTTTTTTCTTTTTTAATTGTGAATATTTTCAGATAGCGGGAATGATTCATGGTGTGTTACATATTATAATATATCGAATAACGGGCATCTGTGATTATAATACTCATACAAGAAAATCTTACAGGTTATTGACTTTATTAGTTTTTCATTTACTAAGTTGCTGGAAAAAGTTGGTGCGGTAATTTTTTGACTTCTTTTTCATTTATTAAGTTGTTTTTACAAAATTTTTGTTGTCATGTTCAATTGCAAATCGTAAATTGAATTTACGAAAATGGATCTATGCATTTCTGAGCATCGGAGATACTTTGATCACTTGATTGCTGTATGGGAAAGAGCATATAAGATGAATGATGCCTAGGCATGGGAGGGCATATATTATATGAGCATCAAACAAAGAGCAGATGCCTAGCAAGTAAATTATTTGAACCAACTGATTGTTACCAAATAATGACTGAATAATATAATCTGACTCTTATATTTCACCAAATCCATGTCTGGATGTAATTGGTGTAGGGAAGCGCAGCAACCGACACCATTAAGAAAATATAATGAAATAAATATTATGAAAATTGCAGGGTGAAAAAGACATGTTACAAGTGGTCTGTGTCATTTCTCATTATTTGTGCTCTTTTGTACTATCGTCATAATAGCCGGTGCGAGCCTTATGTTTTTTCAGCATTTGCATTTTTTGAATACCTTATTGTGCTAACAAATATCTGTTTTCACGCTACATTTAGATTTGATTTCTACGGCTTGCGTATTTTTGTGTTTTGAAATTAGCTATTTGAGATTTTGTTAAATGTAGGTAATGATAAACAGAGTTGCTTAAAAGTGTATCTTGTTTCACAGCAGATTTAAGCCTGGTTAATATACCAAGTGAAGCGATGAACCATATAACTGTTTGGGCAACAATTTCCGTCTGATATGAGTGTGTATTTATCTAATTTGGATAGTAGTAATTTTTAACTTTGTTCTATTTTTAATTTTATATTAAAACAATCAGAACGGATGGAGCAAAAAAACTTGTTTCGTTACTGGGTTTTTCTCACAAGTTTCACAAGTCGGTTTTATTCAGCGAAGTGGGAAACAAATGATATTTCAGACTTATGTAATATCAAAATATTGCTAAATTGGCAACGAATTTTTGGTTTTATTCCAAGCATAAGACTCACCATTGTAGAAACCTGAACCAATGTTTGATTAATACTTGATAAACATGGAATGAAAATGGAAAACTTTTTTAAATTTTTTGCTAAAATAAAAAACCTGGTGGCTAAGCATTTTGGATCCGGATTGGAGTGTTTAAAAAATGATTTATATAAGTACCAAAGAATTTTAGTAATGTAAAAGAAAACACTACTTCAGAAGGGGGACAGCATGCATCACAATTTTAGTAGCCATTTGTTCAGGATATCTAGCTAATGAAGCCGTGCATGTCACCGAAATGAGAAATGCATTTCGCCACCATAAATCTTGCGTAAAACAATAAATTTTTTTCGCAAGTCTCCGACAACAGTCTTTGATCCACGGTGACCATTTAAAATTATCTGGACCAGTGCCTAATTTTTTTTTTGTTTAAAAATCTTAGGATGCCAGCTGTTTTTGCGACAATCCATTTGTTAGATGGAAATTGAAAGAGAAATTCGTAAAACAACGTTTACAGATAACATCTGGATAAGTAATGAGATTCAAACGACTGGAAGCGCCATTACACTCATTCATTCATAAATGCAGCTGCTTCCGTGTATCAGCCAAAAACTTGTCAGTATCTGGATCAAATTACTCTCCATACGCTTTACCCTGATATCTTTCCCAATTTTCATGGTGATAAACTGACTAAAACAGGTAATCCAAAAAACACGAGTCCTTAATGCAGCATTTTTTCAGAAATTATCAAGACATCCTGATAATCTATGTGTTACTTAGAATTAAAAAAACCATGACACGAATTCATTGGTGATTGAATTTCTTGCATCACTAAGTATTCTATCGCACTGGCATTATTTCAAGATTTTATGCTTACGACCGGAACTTGCAATTATAATTCCATATAAATTCTAAATGTGCGGAAGGTAAAAAGTCATCCTACAGAAATCAGTTGCTACAATGGCTATTTCAACCACTCCCATTGGGAGTGACTTTACTCATTTTCTGACAGGAGACCTGATAAAAGAATGGGTCGTGAAGTCAATTATAGAACAATTCACCAACAAGGTCCTTAATGCAAAAAACTTGAAAGGAGTTCCCCACTTCCATCATCTTCCCAGTTGCTTTCATGATCCATGCGATCCAGAAAACCAGGGGAATCTCTCATGTTCCGCGGAAAACGTAGTTTCTTTTCCAATTCCTCTTTCGCTTTCTTTCTCCATCATTGAATACATCCCATAGACATTCACTGGCGATCTGCGCTACCCTGCCTACTGGATTCGATAATCAATCACTTCAGATTGTCAACAATTATAGAACAGTTAATACAATCTTGATCTCCTCGAAGTGCAAGACAAATTAATTAATAAATAGTTTATATAACAGCATTATCGATGAGATTACCGATTCGGGTGTTGTCATAAAAACAGTAACCAATACCTCAAATTTCTCCAGAAAGTTTCAATCGAATAATGTTCGCATTATTCATTCGGCAGGAACAAAACCTACTGTACAAAATTAAAAAGTATTAACGCCGGCCCATCCCACATTTCGAACAGCAACTAACTTTAATGAAATGTATTTTTTAAAAGTGTATACTTCTTAAAAATAACAATCTAAGAAATATATGGAGCATCCACTAACGTTTTGTAACTGGAATCACAATGTACAAGAAGTTCAAAATTAAATACAATTAAAACAATATTTTATCACTTATAAGACCCTTCACTCCGTTGTCGGATATTAAAAAATCCGAAAATTGCTCTATTGTGAGTTATTTCTATCAATCTTCACATTAATCAATGATCGATAAGAATTAGCTAAAAGCAATCGTTTTGGCTTATTCTTATTGCTCAAGCAATGCACCTTGGAGCGATCAACTTTGTAAAATGCCCTCGGCTATTCTGTTAATAAATCACTGCATCAGACAAAGAAATGCAAGCCTGAATTCCAGAAAAAAAGAATCTCTGAAGTGCTGCTTTGATTTGTTTTTCAGCATAACTAAAAAATAGGCATAACAGTGCAAAAGAAACTAAAACAAAATGGAACAAAATCACCAACAGAAATAAAAAGCATAAAACAAAAATTATGATCAATAGGTTTCGTAATATTCTTCACCTGTTTCCACTTCTCCACCTGTTTCAACCTGACCCTCGTCCACAACGTAAACATTTTCGTACTCATCAGTGGTACGCAATGGTACATGTCTGTAATATACTGTATCTTCATCGTAATCTTCTGTGTCATACATCTGCCGTCGTTGCTGCCGACTGCTTGTCTGGAACATTATGAATGATCTCTCGGATGATGAATTTGAAAACGACTGGAATTGAATCAACTTAAGAAGCAGCAATCTCTAGTAATACGAACTTTGATGTGGCCAACTTATTAGGTTTCTCATTTTTTTTCTTACGATAACGCCAAAAAATCGAAGCCAACAACTATTGGAATGGCCAGATGTAAAAATTTTCAACTAAAACAAAAGTCTAAACTTTGCATAAATATTTTGGTTCCATAAATTCAATTGAAACTTTAATATTGTATGGATCGCTAAAAATAAAGAAAAACTTACCGATTCTGTGCGTACTCTCTCTGGCATATTTGCAAACGACGGCAACCACTGCGCATAACGTGAGCCTGGTCCACGACGTTGAAATTTTTGCACAACATCAGGGTCACCCTCTTTAATTTGTATCATCATACTATTCAAATTTGAAATTGAATTCTGCGTTGTACGAAGCTGAAATGAAAACTGTGAGCAACAACCGTCCGCCAAAAAATCATATTCAAATCCAAATCACAAATTCAAATCACACTTACTGCCCTCAACACCATATCCATCGTTTCATCATTCAAACGATAAAGTTGCTCCGACACATTGTCAAATAAAAACGAACAAAGTCGATCAATATTTTTCATCCTTATATCAATTTCATCCGAATTTGGATGCAGTGGCCCGTACCGCTGTTCCAGTACAATTTCATTTTCCCCTCTGTGACGCCCTCTGCTCTAAAAGTAATTTCTGTTTAAATACAAATAAATTTAAAAGACCATTAAAGATAAGCAAGATAATAGCTTTTCTCATTATTTAGCTGACATAATTTACAATTGCGAGTCCGATAACACAAATCATTATTTAGAACCCACATTATCCGAGCATCTATTTATATTCAGGTTTCAAATTCCATCGGCCGAGTATATGCTAAGTACTCAAATTAGGCATTAGAAAATTTTTGGTTACCAGTGAGTGTAAGCGCAAATCAAAAAAATGAAAACAATTAACTTATTACACACTTCATCAAATCCATTCGTATTATCATTATCAACATTGACGAAACTACCATCATCGCTTCCTGCGCTTTTGCTATGATCTGTAATCGATATCTGACGAACTGCGAGCTTCATAAAGATTATTAAATTTTGATAAATAAATATGGTATTATTACTCAGCTTAAAAATTTAATAAAATAAAGCGAAAACGATTAACCTTGGAGATCCACTGGAACACTTCTGCGCAGCATATCTCTGCAATTGTCAGGGTTTCAAACAAAAGTATCAATATTAATTTGAGAAATATGAATTTTTAAAAGTTTCAACAATTGCACACAGTGACATAGAAACAAAGTAAGATCAAAAAAATGACGCAAAAGATATAAAAACCAAAACATACCTTTTAGGGCGTGTAAGCCTAACACGCGCAGATACCTTCTCAGAACTGGTAGCTGGAAAAACAAACCTAGGATCTAGTGCATGACCAAAATGGGTCAATTGTCCGTTTACTTCGATAGACCTACAACACGCCCTTTTAATATTCCAGTCCTACAGGAAATAGATCAAAAAGTTTTTTAAATATTTAAAATTTTTAAGAAAGGTAAAAACAATATATTTAGTCACTTACCCATCGTCACATTCTGTATAAAACAAATGAGCAGGACACATTGCACCAATTTTGGCAGTCCCTTTTCGGGGGCGATTACGCAACGAACCTCCTTTGCTGACTCTACAATTTCAAAAAATAAATTTATCAAAACTTTTTGCTAGAATCCATTTGCTAAAAAATTTGTCACAAATAACTAAAAAACTATATCGAATTCCGTTTCTTCGTAAATCATCTATAAATAAACACATTTTTCCTTAGTTTTAACAAAATCACCTTATTGCTCCAGAACGATTGCAATATAATTGTCGTTTATTTTCTGACTTCCTATGCAAAACAAATCCCATATTTCGAGTCACAGCTAAATCGTCCAAATAATTCTGTAAATGGCAAATGGAATTCTTTCCAGAAAACTGTTAATGCAAAAATTTGTCTTTCAGCGGAAGCTCCTCATTCTTTTTTATTCACTTCCGAACGCATTTTTTTGCTTCCGATCACTCCTCCTCCCTCTCCTTTCTATCGTGACTCATTTTTCTCCTTTAGAAATAAAATATCAAAATAACAATAAAAGGTAGTTTTCAAATACGTATACAGATTAAAAAAACCTGAAATTCTCCAGTGCTTTTGAATTTTCTTTTGACGTACTGCAGTTTGACACCGTGTTCGTCAGCCACATGCTCATTCAACGTATGGATTGTTGTGGCACGATGCTCACAACCTGGACATTTGACGGAAGCCTAGAAAAGTATTCTAGTATGAGTTCAAGAAAAACATTTTAAACACACAGAAATGGTAAAACCGACAACAATAATCAACAACTGATATTGTATTCAATGAAGCACTAAATCGCTGTAAACCAAAAGTTCAAAAAAAGGGAAAGCTAATAATCCGCAAGACTTTCCTGCCTTTGATACATTTTCTTATGCATATTTTCAAAAATATATTCCGAAATAGTTTAGAAAAAAACTTACACGTATGACAACTCGATGTACTTTGAAACGATGAGCATTCATGCTATTGTGATTAGCGAAGTAACGATTACAACGATCGCATTGCAGCTTTCTTTTTTGCCCACCTGCAGATTTTTGATTTCCATCCTTCTTTATATTTTCCTCGGCAGTCTGCAAGTTTCGATATTTGATTTTAGAATTTACGAACTAAAACTCAATATTTTTTCGAAATACTTAATAACGTATCAAACTGTTATGTAAAACAAACTAAGCCTTTGGCGGTAAAAACGGACAAAAATCAAATATCGGTGGAAAATGCTGAACTTCTTGTTAGCAGTAAAATCATGTTCTTCCCCTTCAATTTCGCTATTCTACATATGAAATTAAAAAAAAACATATCGCATTAGTAAGAAATAAGAAACATTCTACAATGCAAGTACCAATATCCTTTGTCTTTTTACTTCGGAATATTAGACAAAAATCTGAACGATATATACCATTGAAATCACAAGAGAAAAACCCAAGCATTATGTCACTCAACTTACTTCATTAAGCCTTTCCTCTTCTTCACGTCCTTCTACATCAACCATCTCTTCGTCTTCGAAGAACTCATTTTCATTATCATCTTCACCTTCTTCATTTGTTTCTTCCTGCCCTTCCGACAAATTTCCATCAAAACTTCTCTTAAAATTATCCGTAGTCAACAATTTCCCGCAATATATTCAAAACCATAAATCTTAGAGTAGAATCAATTACCGTAATTATCAGGAGAAAACTTGAAAACCATACGTCTTTTTCTAATTTTGAAAATCAGTGTGTTTGGAAATGAAAACCAGTTTCGAAATTGACTAACACTGTTCTAACATGAGTTTCACCTTTCGCATGTTAGTTGAATGGCTTCTTCGCGATGTTTCTCCTTGTCCTGACTCCTCGGCTTCTGGTTCAAAACCCTGAATATCAGCTAGATTTAGGCGTGCAGCATCCTGATTCGTCTCATCGATATAATCTCCATATCGCTGTGGAGCTTTATGAGCACGTCTAGGCCTTCTATTTCGTTCACTCTCAATACCTAAAGGAAACCGAATTAAATAAATGCAGGAGTGTCAAAATAATTCGAGAAAATTTCGAAAGTTCTCCAACGACTTCAGAATAGTAATTATTTTATTAAATGCATAGTTCACACTTTTGCAGCTTACTTTCATCATCACTAGTAGGTTCTGACTTCAGGTCTTTTCGTCCGCTCCGTGCATTCATTTGTCTAGATTCTCCAGGGTTGACAGCGCTCTGAAAAAATAACTGAATCTCCAATGGCCTTTGAATTTCATCGTTGTTTCTAAATTTAAGGTCTGAATTCTTTTTCATTAGTTACTCACAGCATGTAGGATATCTGAAAAAGTAAATAACAAGATTTTTGGTCTATTAATTAGTTATAATTTTACTAAAGAAATAGCGCAGCAATCCAGAAAGGAAACCTTATTTTTTTTCATTACAGGCTGAATAATTCGTCGTTTGCGAGTACGTGGAACCTGTAGTGGAGTGCTTTTCTTCACACATTTTCGCAGCGTCTCAAAAGCAAATCGAAAATCAGGTTTTGAGGGATTTTCCACAGGCTCCAGTTTCACCAGCCTTGGCTTCTCTCCCGGTGTGTTTGATTTCATCAACATCATCACTTTAGCGTGTGGAGGAAGGGTTGCACGAGTAGCGAACGATGATCCAGGACGATATGCATCATACGATCCCGCACTGCTTTCTAATGCTTAAATGGAAACCGGTGTCGTATGAAACTAGCGGATTCCATGATTAATTGCCGCTTAATTCAACAATGAATTAATTCTCACAGAAACATGTTATTTTATTAGTTTATAATGATAACGTACAACTTAGTGTTATATTTAGTACTTACAAGGATTAATACCGCTGCTTTCATCGATAGTTTCATAAACTTCGCAAACCGGTGGCCCATCACTATAACCATCATCAGCAGTTGTTTGACCCCGTTCAATAGGTGCTCCACCGGCTGGATCCATAGTTTCGTAAAGGTAATCCTCTTCCATTACCATGCTCCCCAACTCTCCTCCTGTCACTTCCTTCTCGATCGTTCCACTCGCCTGTTGCATCCTTCCGCTCTTTGACATATATATTATACACATATAGGTTTATCGCCCACGCACACCCCATTACAAACAGGAACGCTCATCATTTGTATGTCATACACTCACGGTACTATGCACCTGCGCCCAGAACCTTTTCCCCCCTATGGTACCGTCTATCCACACACTTACTTACCATCCACTTTGGCACCAATCAACCGAATCGCCTACCAACCCACGGCCCCACCCACCCCAAGAGCGCTGCTACTCACCCAACTAAACGAATAATGCAGCACTACTGCCTGAAAGCAAGTAATAAACCTAATAAACTTCGGATTCGGCACCAACAAACTTCGGACTGACAAACATGAACACTCGGTAGAACGCTTAAAATGCAATGGGACGCCGAAGTAGCGGTAGTGATACGTGATGTATTCTAAAATGTTTGTCAGTTTATTTTAGTTACAAAAAAATGTCGACAGTGGCAAAAGTAGGTGCTCGGGTGAGAAAGAAGCCTGTTATCAAAATTATCCATAATCCATTATACAAAGTGATTGTCAAGTAAGTTTATTTATCATGGGATTCCACTAATCGCATTAATTTATATTAATCAGTTGTATTAATTGCGCATAAAATTGTTTAAAAATTATTTTAACATTTTAATTCTCTTCTCCATGTTATTTTCGTTATTTCTTTTACCAGTAACGACTGGTAATGGTGCACTATATAAAAATGATATATTGTAATATTTCTATTTAATTGGATTCTTAATGAGATCGGCTGATTATATTTGCTTCTTGTGTGCTGTTGTCGTTTGATCTGTTTGAATATCTGAAAAACGGTTGTTCCTGTGACCTTGCTTTAACATCACTCAACAACTTGTCACCGTTGCAAAAACGAAAACAAGCATTACAGCATACCTGTATCTGGACAAATTCCTTTGTGATGTGTGACTGTTTACTCTCAAACATCTTCAATCAAACTTCTAAAACTGTGGTAGTAATTGAAGCGCACAAAGTTTTCTTAAAAATGTAGATCATTTAAAATTTTTTCTTCAGTAAGACTAATTGTTTAGAGCGCAGATGGCAACAGCTGCACCACCTCTAGGACCAAATCTGGGTAAAAGGGGCATTAATGTAGCGAATTTTTGCAAAGATTTCAATCGAACAACAAATAATATCAAGCCCGGTACTTTTTTTTCTGAATTTATTATATACTCTAACGGTCGTACAGATTTTCGATTTGAAGAACATATCTTTATAACTAGAAAAACGAAACATGTAAATGGATTTTTCCTTTGAGTTCATGAGAATTTGTTGACCTCTACTTCAGTTCAAGGTCCAGTGATTTTTCATTGTTAATTTCTAACAAGGAAATGAAAAAAATTGAAGCTTTCAAAATTATTGTTACGAACAGGTATCCCGTTACCAGTACGGCTCACAATAAAGCCCGATCGTACATATGACATGGAGATTTGTACACCAACATCTATGTGGTTACTGATGCATGCAGCAGGCATAAGGCGTGGAGCTACGCGTCCACGTAAGTATTAATGGCTGGTGATCGTAACTATGCTTAAATTTCAAAATATTTAAGCAAAATTTTAATTCTGAATTAATTGATTGACGAAATAACGTAAAAAAGTCTACAAGCAAACCAACCATTTTTATTGGCCTCCATAGCTAATGTAGTGATTGTCTTATTTTTGATCCAAATGAAAAATTTCATGTGAATTGCTTTGTATGGTGCATGGAAGACTGTAATATATATATCCTTTTTAAAAAATATTGTAGACTTTCAGATGAGGAAATTTCCGGAATGATTACAGTAAAGCATATTTATGAGATAGCCAAAATAAAGGCTACTGATAAATGTTTAGTTGGTGTCCCATTAAAAGTTAGTCATTTTTATTTACATTAACGCCGGATTTTGATATATTAATTCTCATATCATTAGTAAATAGTGTTTATTGTACTTGTCATCGTTAAGCATTTCGTTATTTTACTGTCGAAATGGATTTTTCCTTCAGTTGATATGTGAACAACTCATTAAAACAGCCCGCACAATTGGGCTCAAAATTGTACGTGAGGATCTTGACCCAGTGGAGTACCGTAAATTTCTGGAAGAACGGAAATTGGTAGTTGACGAAGAACTGAAAAGGATAGAAGAAGAGAAGGCCGCTAAAATACTCAGGACAACACCAGGTGCTTCTGCCTAATAAATATGATGTGTAAGTATGAAAAAGTGATTAAGTTATCATAATTTTACGCGCGTTTTGAAACTGTATTTGATAATCACGGAAAATATAAATTTAAGGAATTGTTCTATTAAGATTGTCTGCAGATTGGAATACCAAACTAAATCCATGAAATGTGGCTATAGTGGCAATGATTAAATCATATAATTATATAGTCTCTCTTGAAAAGCTAATTTTGACGAGACAATGCTCAGTAGAATGATATGTATTGACTCCTTTTTTCTAACATATAATTTAAATTTAATGAGAATTGATGTGGTTATTTTCGTCAATAGTTTATTTGCTTTCAGTTATTGTTTCCAGCGCTTTTTTTATAGGTAATATGAAATGTATGTGCTATTTTTTTTATGAACAAGCTTTATAAGCGCTTTGGTAAGTGAAAAAAATGTATCATCACGTTCTGTTGTTTACATACTATGAGCTTTTGGATCTTTCGCATTAATTTATGTCAATTTTATACATAAAATTGCTATTGGTGCTCTATTTTTCTTAAATTGCACGACGAACATAACCTAGAAGCTGAAAGGCCTGGAGTGTGACCTAAAAAGCGTGTTTTTGAATTCATCAATGTGTTGGAGTGTTCAGCTACGAGCATACGTCATCTACCATTATTCTGATATACGTTCATCACATCTCTCAATCACTCAGAAATGAGGTCTAGATACCATGACCATTCGATATTCAATGTACCCAGAGTTCTCTACTTCTAGTAGTTACAACGAGCCGTAGACGGATAATCATCGGATGCATCAGTACACATTATCCTATATTTTAATGATTACGCTATGAAGGCTAATATATCTTTGTAATTTCCACTTTCATTTTGTCTCAACATTGATTTTGTAGTGTTCATATGAATGAAAACTGATTTATAGAACTTTTATTGTCCGGTTGGCAACACAACAATCATAGGTTGCACGGTGCAAAAACATGGTGAAATTAATGTCTTGCAGCCATTTATTTCGGTTTTATGAGCAGAGTTGCAGAAGTCGTATAAAATCGCCTATTTGCCATTCTGTTAGGATGGCTCATACGGTAAAGAGAGATTAAGTAATACGAGTCTTGTTGATCTCTGATACCAAATATAGGGGATAGAATCGATCAACAAGCTAGTCGTTTGTTTCATTATTTATTAACTTCAAAATGATCATTGGAATCGTACTAGCATGATTTACAGCATGGTATCTGTCAATTTCGAAATTGGTGATCACTCCTCCTTATACCACTAGTTCCGTCATTTCAATGAAAAAATAGTATAGCCTTACATGAAAGTACATTCAGTTCGGAGCTGAGGACAAAAAGCAAGCATTGGGACGAATTGGTCAACTTGTCTCTATAATATTGAGAGACAGAAAGAGAAAGTAACGGAAGACGTTATTGATCAGTCAGCTGACCGGAGATCCGTTTCCACAATGGACATTTACCTAGTGGCACTAACTAATACTGCCTGAATTGAGTATTTCCCTTCAACGTGTGCGCATCTAGAAATTCTAGAAATTTCCCGAAGAGTGGCCATTACTATAGCGCTACGTGAGACGCCCATCGTATCACATCGATAGGCACATACATATACTGAGTGGGCTGACAGAGTGGCAGAGTTGTCCATTGGTAGTGAAGAATAGGGCAGGGTCATCACTCGGTTGGCATTCTCGCTGTCTCATTCCCGTAAAGTGATTCCTCCGAGGTCACCGGTTGGTATTCTCGCTGTCTCATTCCTGTAAAGTGATTCCTCCGAGGTCACCAGTATCGGATCTTTAAAATATCCAGTATCATAAACTTTAGGAAGTGATTATCCCACAAATTTTTATTTAAAATGCTTTTGAATTCTTACCTTACGAAATTAACGTTATAACCTTTAGCTTTTGTTTTTGGAATTTCGGCAGATTGTTAGCTCATTTATGCTTTTGATCATTCCGTTAATTTCCTTATACTTCTGGATCGCAATCACTTTATTATTTTGTTAATGTCGCTCCTTTTTCCTCTTCCCTTTCAGCTTTCTTATAAATTGCTTGAAACATTGAACTTTTAATGCATTCAAATATTGGCATTCTTTTGAGTAGAACATGAAAAGAATGGTTTGTTTCATAACATTTGCTAATATTGTTTTCCAGATAACATTGTGATATGAAGGACCATGCCGTCTGGTCAATAAGAAGTATAACCAGTTATGAAGCAGTATTTTTTATTTTTTGCATCTTCCGGAACGTCGATTTCGATTCATTTTTAAATATTTGAATGAATTTAAGCTGAACAAAATGCGATTCATAGTAAGTTGAAGGCATAAGCAATATTTAGAGTTGGAGTAGAAAATCCTAAACAGTGGCCTGAGAACTTTTTCCCTTAGGAAATATGTATGTTAGAATGATAGATTTCACTTTAAAATCTTCTTAACTTTTTTGCTTTCATTGTGATATATACTATTTGATGATTGAATTGGTTTAGAAAATAAACTTTTTGAAAAATGTTAATATATTTTGGATGCATCAAATAAAATAGGAAGTGGATGAGTAGCTCCAAGTGGTACATGTTTTTGTTATTTAAAGAACTAATGCCTAGAGAGAAAAGATTTCAGATAAGACTAAACAGACTATTAGCTCGTAGGATCACTTTTACGAACAGCTCTTCAAAATACTTTTAATTTAAATCTTCAGTGTCGTTCCAATTTCATTATCATTTTTTCATCAGTTATTTGATCGGTTGACTAGTTGTAAATCATAGTAAGTTTCAAAATGAAACCAATAATTGGAGGCGAGATTTTTTGAGTAGAATTTAAGGAATGTACATTCATCACGTATAGTGGTGTCAAAGTGTCTTGACTAACTACGGCATATTGTTGCACTAAAGCCTCAAGCAGCCCTGCAGGTGAAAATGATATGAAGGTTAATAAAAAAACCGAGTTTCGCTTTTGTTGAATTGTTTGCAACAAAATAAATAGCGATTGTTGATAAGAAGAGTGGTAGATTTCGAAAAACGAAAACATTCGAGAAAATTGAAGGAAACTAATCCTATTTTGATTAACATTTGTCCGAGATTTGTTTTCATCATTGTTTACAGAATATTGCAGAATGCACACTTGGAATTAGTATCATCATGATGTGACCCTTCTCTTCCTTTGTGTCTCTTCTGGTGCTTTAAGATGTATAAACAACTAGAGAGGAAGATGAAAAGAGCTAAGGATTTGAATCTTCTCAATACTCTCTTTCAAGGTTTGCAAAATGTTATGGAAATGGAAATTTGAGAACAGCGATAACAACTTTGCAAAATGTTATGGGAATAGAAATACTAGGGGAAGGTGGATTCTGAAGTCTATCTAAACAACTTCCAATAAAGTATAGGAAAAGAAAAGAAGTCTGTTATCACTGTTCTCAAATGTTTTTCCGAGCACAAATTGAGATTTTATTACTGGAAGGAAAATGATCTCTCTTATTGAGAACTTAGAGGAAAAAAAGAATGATTGCTCTGACAATTTTAATCGTCAATACATTTCAGATAGGAAAACAATATTAGATTTCACAAAAATAAGATTTCGGAAAACAGATACTTTGGTTGCAATGCTTTAGCATAGCTTAGCTACCATATGAACTGACTCATTCGGAAGGAATGAAGGAAAATATTGTTGGATAAGTCATACAGATACTATTACCAATTGAATGAATGAGTGGCACTCTGAAATTAGTGATGTGATGATAGGAATAAATTGAATTATCACAAAATTTGCATAAACGGCATTATTTACTACGGGATATGATATGAAATGATGAATTGGTAATTTTGGGATAAGACTAATATTCAAGATTGAAAGAAATAGCTATCGCAGGAAATGAATATCGCACTTCTCTCCAATTAAATGTTAATATTATATTTTAAGTTATCTGAATTGATATCTAAACTTTTGATATTTCTTCTAACTTTTCATACTTCTACATATATGTATAGATATATAAATTTTAATGAAAAACTTGGCGTCCATTATTTAGGAAATTAATTAGTGGGTGCAAAAGAAGTCCAAATTTCAGGCTTTCAAGCATGTAAAGTTCCTTTGATATCTTTGGCTTATATTTTTCAAAAATGATATTTTACGCTTGAATGAATGTTTATCGCTCTGTAGAAGGAATGTTTATCGCTTTCACTTCATCATGATGATGTTGTAAATTAGAAATTTTTTTTCAATGTTTTAATGATTTCATCAAGTTTTCGCTTTCGTTTCTATGCCAGCAATTTATTTGTTATTCATTTACACTCCTAACTTTCTATTTCAAAAAATCATGGTGATATTTCGATTATTTGGGAGATATCTCTTTCATTCTCCTCATATTACCTTATTTCTTTAATAATGATATAGTAATATTACAACATGAAATGTAAAATAATAATGATATAATAATATTACAACACGAATGTTTAAGTGATTAGAATAATAACAAAGATCGAAGATTATCACTGAATTATTTGGCTTAAGATGAATGTTCTTGTTATTTTTATTCCTGCACCTCTGTCCCCAAAAATTACTTATGGTAGGATTTAGAGATCAGAGAAATGAATCTCAATACTAATCTAGAAGTAATACATCAATAATTTTTGATCTTTAGAAGCGGTTCACGTTTATGTTCCTATTTGTAACCAAGCGGATAAGGATTTAAGTTAGGGTTATTTGTGAAATCGAGAGATTTAAGTGATTTAACTAGCAGTTTTGAATTAAATTTACAGATCTATAGCTGACATTATTATTTGGGGAAATACAATGAGGTATACCATTAATAAAAGATTATTGCATTGAATGACATGGATTCTGTAACTTCTGCGACATTTTGTCTTGTGATTTGATATCGAAATGTTGTTCAAAAAAAGTCTTTGATGTTATAGTTACGGAGATTTGTGAAAAATATTGAAGAAAGAATCGTAATATGGTTCGTTCTAACTCAACAAAAAGCAGCCAAGGAGCCTTTATAGAGGGCACATTAGAGTTGGATTCCGGATTGAAAATCAGTTATGTGGCACCGGCACATGCAGCATCAATAAAGGAAAATTCATCGATTGAGAAAAATGTTTCACGTAAAACAAGCTTTATAGAAGGTAAGATTTGTTCGTTTGATTACACTCTTTTGGATTGATGATATCAATAAGATTTACATTTGAATTTCTTTCCCACATTTTTAATTTTCTTTTTGTTATTTTTTCTTTTTTTTTTAAATTGGGAAAAATTTTTTCTTGATGTTTTGATGAATTTAATAAATAAAGTGGTACAAACCATTCGTCAATATCCTAAAGGGCATAAATTTTAATATGGTAGGAAAGTAAATTTTAAATATGTTGTCCTTTTCTTGTCAAGAAGGTCCCTCTCATTCTCTTATTCAAGCTTATTAAAAGCACTCGCTTTTAGAATAGTTCAGAAAAAGATTTCTATATTCGATATCGTTTAAAAATCCATTGCGACTAGAGTGAAGAATGTTATCTTTTTTTGAGAAATTCAGCAAGATTGAACTGGTCATACCTAAACCTGAAGATAAAAATCAGTAACAGAACAGAATTTAAAAAAATTCAATACCGTTGTTTATCAGTATTTGGAGGTTTTGTCCTTTTTTATCTCTGTTAACTAATCACTTGAAAGTGTGAAGACCTTGCAAGTTTAATAAATCATTTTATGAAATGCCGTTTTCACGACAACATGAAAGAGGAATTTTTTTTTAAAAAAATTTAGACAAAAGGTGAGAAGCAGTTCGTAAGTTGTAAATTTTTATCTGTAGGAAGTGATCCACGGGAAGAATGGGAAGGCGTTTTTGAGATGTGTTACGCGCTGGATCATGCTGTACGATTTGAAACGGATGATTTAGTGAAGGGGCGGAAAGTTCTGGAGGTAAATGTTTAGTGTACTTAATTTATTAAGCTTTTCATGAAGTGAAGTTATGAAATCCATATGACTATTCCACGTAATTGTGTTACAGATTGGGTTTTGTACAGCTCTTCCATCAGTCTTTGCCGCAAAAAATGGTGCAAAACATATCACTTTGCATAGTAGTGTGAGTTTCTCTCTATTTCTTTAGAAGAAAGGAAAAATTTTTGATTTTTTTCGAAAAACTTTCAGCCGTAATAAAATCACTACTGACTGTTATTTTATGTCTGCTCAGTCTTGAGTAAGTAGGAAAAAGGAATTGGTCAAGCTTATAGTTTTTGAATATAGGACAGTGAAGTGATGGAATCGTGCGTGAAGCCGACACTTTCTCGGAACAAAATCAAAAATGTGCAACACAGAACCCTTTGCAGCTCTTTGGAAGATCTTCGAAAATTGATAAAACCGAATGAGTAGGTTTTAGCATGCTCCTAAATAGCATTTGAATTTACAAATCTTTCAATATGACATAGTAGAGGAAAATATTGTCAATACCTATAAATAATGACAGTTTATAAGAACTGATGCTTTCAAAAAAAGATTTCCCATATTTTTCTTCACCAATATCTGCAATAAAGTGAAAGCAGCACCTAAAGCTGGAAATGAACATTTTCCTGTTTCAGATTTGAGGTTATCATTGCTGTGGAACTTTTTAACAGCGAGAAAAATCGGTTTGAGGAAATTCATGATTTCACGGACTATGCACTGGCCAATGATGGTGTTTGGTAAGTTTTAGTTGTTTTAAAAACACGCAGTTAACTAGAAGAGAAGCAAACGGGATTTCCTTTGAGATTTTATTTCTATTACGCAAAACGAAATTTCAGCAATTTTAATATAGTTACCAGAAAAACTTGATGGCTATCTATATTTTCCAGCTTGCTGGAATCTCGAATGTTCTACATCAATTGTGAAAGCAGTTTGCATGAATTTTTGGATCTGGTAAAGTCGAAGGGAAAATTCGATGTTTATACCCGTTGGTCGACCCCAAAATCAGAAATTATTCAGCGAAAAGTAATCCAGTTGACTCGAACTGTAAGATGAGTTGTAGAGAAATGCTATTTTTTTCTCTATACCAAACTTGCATTTGTGAACAATTTTTCCAGTTGAAATTGTGGTGTTTTGGTTTCGTTATTTCTGTATATTTACTTTTGATTTCAAGATAACCACCTTATAAGAAGCTTCATATTTTAGATGACATTTTCGCGAAAATACTTACAAACTTCAAAACTTTTTAACTTTGATTTCCCAAAAATTTTCTTGGATTTTCCCAATTTCAAAAGCTGGAAATCCCGAATAAACCTCCAATCAACGCAGCTTCTTATTTTTTTCTGTTTCTTCCATGTTTGTTGTTAAATCGATTATTCCGAACAAGGGGAAACACTTGTTTCTCTATCCTCTTATTTCATCATTTCTTTCTATGCATTTCATGCTCAGAGCTCCTGACTAAAAATTATCAAACTGATGCATATTATCAAAGTTTTTCAAACCATTTTGATTCTCTTGCTACGGACCTGCTACTCACTCCTAATCATGTACTTTCTCTCTTTTACTGTCTCACTTTAGTAAACAAACAACATTGTAGATGCATCAGATTCCTTTGAAACATAAACTCCCTTTTTTGGAAAGTGAATTAGAACGATTTTCCTATTTCTGAATAATGATATGCAGTTTTGAAGAGAAATACCATTGCAATTTAAGATGAATAATAAAACTTCTTATTAGGAAACAGAGAAAGCATGTAGCGGAAATTGACATCTTAGAAATAGTTAAAGAAATTAATTGTTGAATGAAACAAGTAGATGTTATTCACAGTGGTTAATAATTACTACCTTTTCAACGAGTGGCAGTGCTCCTTTAAATCTTTAAATTTGTCTCCTATTTCCTGTTTTCCTTCTTGTACCTTTATAATATGTTTAATGAAGAGAGTTCGTAGAAAAACTTTTATTCTCGAGCAGTGGAAGAAAAAAGCTGAAACTAATATTAATATGGCTGCTCATGGATGAAAATCGGATTAAAATTTCTAAAGAATTTTTGCAAAATATCTGTGACGAGTTAAAAGACATTCGAAATAATCAAAATCTTTGTAAACAGATAATATGAGTAATCGATGTCCAGAATTTCATTAGAATAACAAAATATTGCCAAGTTTTCACAAGCGGGCAAGAAATAAGAAAGATGTCATAACAGAGAGCGAGAGAGAGAGTGGAACAAGAATAAGCAGGATACTGCAATGTAATAAAATAACCTGATTACAAAAGGCAATGTATTCTGGAAAGAAGCTCAAACAATCATATGCTGCTTGGTGGCTTCACAAAAATTTAAGAGATGGATTTGAAACAAAATTACTCATCCAATCTTTGAAATTAAAATGTTTTTTTGATGAATTTTAGGAGGTGAATTAAATTACTTTCGATGATAAGCGTTGACAAAGTAAATAAAGTATGAAATTTGCTAGTTTTTGTTTAAAAAAAAGAATACTTGCTCACCACTTAACAAATTTAACTTCTTCCAATTGTAATATTAGCCTAGAAGAGGTGGCCCGATATAAACCATAGACACTTCAGTGTTACCATAGACGGCACACATGGCAGGAAATAGTTTCAGTGGGGGCAAGCGATTAAAAGCAATGCCTAGAAATTCACTGCCTTTTTCGAAGTACATAGAGTGTTGCTCACAATCCACTACCATCCGAATTCTTTCTCCCATCTGAAATAAATTAAAATGCAAAATTAAATTTTATTGTTATGTACTAATGATGGATGATCAGCTCATTTCTAACAACATTCATTTCGAAACGAATTGTCTGAACAAATGAAAATTGCAGAAGATCGAAAATTTTTTGTCTTTCTAGATAATAAGAGTCATTATTCATTCATAGTAAGTTTTAAACTCATCAGAATTTCTAGAATATCGATTATAAGTTACCATGCAACATTAACCTGATACTTTGGAGGATTATTGATATGTGGATAAGGAGAGATCTGTGTGCTATTATGCAACAGCTGATTGTCAACAAGATTCCAGCCCCAGCTTTGATCATCACTTCCTAATAAAGCCACATAACCTTGACAATGTAGCGCTGCATGTCTGAAAAAATCTATTTTTATACACAATTTTTTTAGCTCAATGTTAATTACTGAAACAAAATAAAACGCTACACAAAGTTTCATTCCAATCATATTTACAAAAAATTTGAACCTTTGCTGATCTTTCTTTCAAATTCAATTCAGAAAATGAAGTGAAACTCACTTCGTCGCTAAACCTATACAAGCCACCGTTCCCAACGGCCCTTCCCACATGAACTCCCATGCGTGTATCCCACTACTGACACCTATTTTGCCTGAAATTTCGTATAAAAAGTCCTTGATGAAATTCACTGCATCCAACTTATTTGGAATCAAACAAATTCGAGTGGTAAATTAATACCTCGGACACTATCGGTACTTTGAGCAACTGGATTTCGATGCACTGTAAAACCGTTAGAACGCAAATAATTATTCCTAAAACACCACAATGAATTAAACATTTCTCACAAAAAAATAGATTTAGTATAAATATAGTTGATATAGTCATATATTTGTCTCGCACATATAGTATTCGTCTCGAAATGAACTGTCATTTAGCATCTTACAATGTGCGTAATAAATACGAAATGTACATGGTAGCAGATCCCAGTTGAATTATGAGAACAGATGTTTTCACATAAGAATTCAGAAGCTCTAGGCATCACTCTTAGGTTGACACGCCATCTTACCCTATTTCGGGAATGAATCGCAAAAATCCGAAAGAGGATAAAAGTCCGAACAGATGAAAATTACAGAAGACCCAAAACTTTTTGTTTTCTAGGAAATAAGAGTCACTTATTCATAATAAGCATTGCTCCTTTACATAGATGAATAAATATAAAATTCAATAAGTGTGAAATCACTTTGAAGAGTCGTCCGGATTCCATGCATAATAAAACGCTCGTAATTTGTCCTTGAAAGAACGGGTTTCTGATAGAAGGCAAGGGTCATTAAGGGCTTCATCTGGGATAATCATATGTGCAAGACGTTTCCATACAAAGCTATCCTATAAAGTTTAGTACTTATCAAAAAAAAAATGCTAAACAATCTAATAAATAACTGAAAATTAAATGATATTGAACACTATCAAGATAATCAACTGAAGCTAACCGGATACTGTAAAACAGTCCACCAGTGTTTGCAAACTCGCATACATTGTGCCAAGTCTTTAAGATTTAAATATTCAAAAACTGCTAGAAGCACAACATGAGGTAAACGAGCAGCTGAGACAGCACGCAACCGGCGAGTAAAACACGTGGAACTTTTTGGGCGACAACGATCCTCCGTGTCTAAAACTTCATAACTAAAGATTAAATGAAACCGGAACCTGATTTCACTTAAAATTGAGAGTTGCCGAAAACTCCTGTCCGGCACGAAAAGAAATAAAATGTTACCGACATTCTTTTTTAATTTTTAATTATTGTTTAAATACCATGTCTACCTCCTCCTTCAGTGGACATTTTAAACAACTGTAATCCGAATCATTGTAATTCGATGCCAATAAAACCCATTTCCGAGAATACCATGAATACTAATTCGTTTGTATCCAAACCTTCTGGATCTCTTCATGGATGACCAACGAAATCATAGGAATAAAGAAACATGCAGATATGATAAATTACTGAAAACGAATTTCAAGATATTTTAAAATGATTTATCAAGACGAAAGGATAGCTCCTGTACATTATTTATTTAAACAGAATGCATCAAATATCTGATGCTGTCTGATTGTAAATTATGGTCCCCCAAAGATCGATGATAATGCAGATGATCAAAGCAGTCTTATAAATGAAATGTTAGCAGTGGCAAATAGGAGGAGGAGATGTAGGAACAAAACATCGATAGCAAATACTACCAGTTGTTTTCGCGCATTAACGAGTAAACAAAATGATATTGAATTCAATATTCTATCTTTATTACACAGTCACATTTCACATTTAATTCAAACTTTAACAAAAAAAGAATAAAAGTGAATCACCATTCTTATGAATCCTCTTAAAAGAAAGTGGAAGACTTGGAAAATCTATAACCAATTAATTCCTAATTCATACGAATTCTCAAAATTTGGAAAACAATAGAAAAAGGAAATATCCAGACTTGCTAAACTTCGCTATGCTTGTCACATTACATTACTAGGATGACAGCTTTCAAAATCAGATAGTAAAGCTAGATAAACTGAAGCTACATCAAAGATTGCAAATTAAATGATAGAATGGAATAACTTATTCTTTTTTATCTCCAAAATATTCTGTAAGGAACATTCTGCAAAAATGTAAGGAATGTAAGGAATGAAACTGAGAAACTCCTGAGCAATCAGACAAAAGGCAAGGATAAAACAAGAAAATCAATGATTCTATCATATCTGAAAAATCGAGCACAGGATACCGGCAATTACTTTTTCACTTTGGCTGTTTTTGCCTTTGTTTTATCTCTTTTCGTTGCTTTGAATTTTTCAGGTTCTGTGAAAACTATTGAAGGCATCGTCATCCTAAAGAAAATGGAGGAAAATATCCAAATATATCGACAAGCAAAAAAAGCAAAAGAAAAATAATTCATACTTTAATAAAAATAGATTCACGAAAAAAATATACATAACATATAGAATTATAAACAGCTTGGAAACAATGATTCAAAATACCAACCTAAATAGTCGTCGGGCAAAAAATTCACCATTTTCATAAACGAACGGCGAATTATCATCGTCATTACATTTCGTTTCAGCTTCAAAATCTTTCTCATAAGAAAAGGTAGGGAAATGCGGATACTGTATCTTCTTTTTATCGTGATAACAATCCTTGATCAGTAATATTTCTCCTGTTTCACCCGGTACCGATCCATTAACATACATCACCTAGAACATCTCTGCTAATGATTATTTCCTTTTTATTATTTTATAACGCTTATTTCTTTTAACAATAAAAAATTATTCAAAGACATGTTTGGTTCACTTTCTAATACTTTCAAACATTTTTTTCCTTATATGTCAATAGAACGCAATTTTTCCGAACCTGAGTTAAAAAGAAACTAGAATATAAGCTACGAAAATTTTTACAAAGATTGAAATCCCAAAAAGTGATATCTTCATTCAGCAAAAAAATTTTTCTTTCTATTTTGCAAATTTTGGAAACTTGAAAACCTGCTTTTCGGGATTAATCCTCAGCACTTCAAGGCCTGGGATAGATCGCCATTCGTAACCCATATGACCTGGCATCCGCTTTCCAGGCCTTACCCGAGCATCACCTTTTGAACCTGTAGCACCAATACGACGATGAGATTTTGTAGTCCTAAAAACAATGAATGTAGAGAAATAAAAGAACAAATAGTATGCTAAAATTTTTTAATAAAATCAAAATGCAACAAGTGATAGGAATATGCCAGTCTATCAACTAGTATAGGTAATCAAATACACACGAACTTACCCTCTAGCAGGCATACCTTTGAAGCCCCATCTATGCATTCCACCCTGGAAACCCCAATCAATTGTATGTCCCGTAACAGTTATGTATTGGCCAACTTTGAAATGACACACATGTAACTCTGTCCCTGGCTTCACCACTGCATCTTCGGTGACCAAAAAGGATGCCATGTGTTTCTTTACAGGAAAACCTAGAAAGTTGAGAAGTTACAGTTCTCATTGCAAGAATTGTTAAATATGTTTATTCAGAAAATTAGGTTATGCCAGGAAAATTAAATCAGCAAAATTACAACCATGCCGTTCAAAAGCAGCACGATATTGTGCCGTAAATTTTGTCGGATCAGCATCTACAGCTCCAACCGTAATTCGCCATCGAGGACCATAGCGGCCATATGCTTTTCGTCTTCCCACCATGCTTATTCTAGAAAAATACTCATTCCAAAATCTTTTGAAAAAATCTTTAAATTTAGGTCATCTCCTTATGCCTCTTTTCTTTGTAAGATATCAAGGCGATAAGTTAATCCTGTCAGGCGAAAGCTAGAAAATAAGACGATGAAATTCTCATGTGGGAACCAAGAAAGAAAATTAACCGATAATAAGTTTCTGGATCAATCGCTGAGATGACAAGATTCTTAGGAAACTCTAGCATTGTGCACAAAAAGCGAGTTCCATCCACGCCCCACTGAGGAAGCATTCCAATTTTTCGCGCCAACATTCCGACACGATTCGATTCTGGCGTCCATTCTGATGGATTCGTTTCTTCAGGCATTTCACATAATGGAGTTTTCAAAGACATATACGGGTTTGCTCGAATGACTGGTGCATCTACTACAATGATCGCTACTATATTTGAAGAATTCAGACGATTAAAATGGAATGAACGACAAACACTATAACATTATCATGCAATCACGTTAGTAAAGTAATAACTTGTTTAACGGATAGAGAAATAATTTTATAAGAATGAAAATCAATCATGACTTTTGCTAGTAGTAGAAATTATTAGCAAAAAACAAGATTAAAAAGATTTCTTAAAATTTACTTTTCAAACTCTACTTCAAAAATTACCTTTCTTCTCTAATCTAATCAACTGCTGAAGCAAAAGCCGCGTGCTGGGTTCTATTGGTTCAATAATCTTTTGTTCCTTCTTTGGCAACCATGGTGGCGGAGTGAGTGTTCTAGAAATAAAGGATTAATTAAAAATAAGACGGTAACCAGTCTTACACATAGAAGCTATAAAAATTTATTTTGTCATGCACATGATTATTGTATCCATAGACGTCAAAACCTATGATACTAATTTTCCAAACGATGTTGATAGCAAAATAATAAATGAAATGTCATATTAAGTCGCATTAGGCATTAAGAGAAATCAATATCTCAAGAAATGAAAATAAATACATGGAACGACACAGGAGAACAAGAAAACACAACTGACTGCATTTTAAAACTTCGAAATAAAATTAATAGAAGCTGAGATTCCGCGGAACAAACCTCCGCCTCATCCTTTTCTGCATGTAATACTCCGCATAAGCATTATACAATAGCCGTGCTGTAATTTGTTTATCGACGCACCATAGTTGACTGAACCGTTCAACCGGATATAACATCTATACGACTAAAATTAACTTGAAAAGATTCTCAAGATTACTACATACTATTCAAGAATGACGAAATTAAATGAAAAACAACGATCGGCAATAACGAGAGAAAAGAATGATGAGTGAGGAATACAAACTGGAAAAGGAGGGAAGCAATTTCAAGAATGAAGCACTGTTGAAGATTATATAGTTTCTTCTTTTCACAGGAGAGAGAGATAGGGTAATATTAAATTTTGATATTGAGAATTCAAATCAGGAGGACAAAAGACAGCCGGGTCAGAAAGAAATAAAATAAATAAGCTACGAAATAGGGAGATGAAAAAGCCAACACTATGACTTCTGTAAACAGCATCATTCACTTCAATGCCAAGGTCGATTGGATAGTATTTTCTCTTATTAAATTACCAGTACATAAAATCTATTAAATTGAAACAGTCAGTGGATTAAATCTAAAGTGCAAATCAACAAATATATGAGTAAACTTCAACAATTATGGTCCTAGTACTAGTGTATACATACTTGGTAATGACCAGTTGAAGCAAACTTTTAACTCAATAAACGATGTCAAGTCTCTAATGCCGTACTTGAGAATATAAAAAATAAGAGGTTAACACTCAAGTTTCCAGCTTCAAATACATCCTTGTCATTGATGTGCTTCAATAAAAATCATTACAAAAAAGCCATGTAATCAAGTAGATTTGAACTATAAATCAATTCCCCACAATCTTTATTACTCTTTTTCTCATTATATTATTTTATTATCCAAAATGCATATTTATAAGACGTTTATAAGAATTTCGCTTGCGAATTATGTCAAAACATAAAAGACAACAATGTGAATCATGCCAAAATATCAAACAAAATTCAGTTCTGAATTATGGCAAAATATGAAATGAGATAAAATTAGATCTTAGATGAGAATAAAAGCCAATTCGTCTCGTCTTCTTTCTTCGGTCACGAAAAATGCCCGCTATATCAAAGTAAAAGCATGTATACAAATTTTTCAAGAAGACAATGGTGAGGTGTTTTCCTGACTTATTTATCTATAACATTCTATCGGTTTCACTTTCTTTCTTCTTCGCAGACATTAATTCACAGCAAATTTCAGGTGTTATCTGGTAATGATTTTGCACCTAAAACAAGATACAGTTAATTTATACCATTTATATTTAAGCAATTTGAACAAAAGCAATAAAGCTTGAAATCATTAAAAAAAATTGCCATGTCTTTACTGCATTGCACTCCACATTATTGACAGACTAATGCAAATTTGACAAATTTGATATAAGTCAAACCATGGTGAAGATAATAAACTTGGAAATCGTGTTCAGTTAAAGCTTACTTTTGTTAGTTCCAGTAAAGCTGCACGCTGCTCATCATTGATATCATTTTTATATCGTTGGGCGAAAGCCAGCAATGACTGATGCCAAAGAACAGGTAACTGTCGTTCTTCCTTTCGAAACCTAGAAAAAACCAACTTCCATACACCATACCGCCTTGAGTGCGATTCAAACGCTCTCAATTCAGTTGAAATATAAAAGCACAAAACAGAGAAAAAAATTACATCACTCAAGCTTATGAACCCAACAACTTTACAAGTGAGGCTTACCTCAGATAATGATTTACCAATGCATCAATGGCTCGGTACGGCAAAGCATATTTTTTATCAATCAATATCCTCAAAAATAACGAATTCGAACCAGTGTATTCCATATTTGCGATCTGAATAAAACAAAGGAATGCAAAAGAACCACCAGAACTGAATGGCTAGCTTTTAAAAAAGCATAAAATAACATAAAATATACATATTTCAAGAAGTTATGAAGTCCTCACTTTAAGCATCGCAACTGCAGCATGCATCATTGGTATCGATGTCTTTGCTAACACGGAACCGAAAATCGTTGCCTCACGTAATGTGCATGTTCCTGACTGCAAAATAAATTTATTTTCATTCTTTATTATGAAATTGTTCGATTCCCCATCCGATTCCCCGATTCCCCTTCCTCTTGCAACTCATCGCTGCAGAAAAACTCGACCAAAAAGCTTTTCTACTGGGAAGACGGTGAATTTGTAATTTCTCAATTTCATCCCTTTTATTAGAATTTTTCTGCAATGAGACAATCATATCTAGTTAATTTCATCCTATTTCTTTTTATTTTACTGAATTTCCATTAATGATATGAAACTTTAAGTATCAAGAGACAAATTACTTCGCAAAGTGGCAAAAGAATTCCTTTGAAAAAAGCCTGCGGCTTATAAATTGCCTTATGCAACGCTTGAAACAGATGAAAATTTAGCTTTTTGTATTCGCTAATATCATCCCTCAACCGCGGTAACAATATCAGGTTGTAAAATCTGAAAAGTGTGTCTCGATTATCAACTTAAAACGCAGAAATTCCGAAGAATTTCAACAAAAAACCAAACTTTCATTTCATGGTAAAATCAAGACCCCAAATGGTATTGCAAAGTAAATTGCTTTGAGAAAGAAAGGAAAAGGAAACAAAACTGCATAGTGCACTAAGCCTTCAAAAAAGTTAATTAACCTTTGACACATCCTCGAATGAAGATTTGATGCAAATATCCTGGTCGCTTGATACATAGCTGCTGCTGACCATTTATCAGGATTTGTAAGGCTGCAAGAATGCCCAAAAACTTTTCTGAGAATGTCTAATACCTAATTCTGATCTCTTCGATACCTTGGAATTATCTCAACGATTTGAGAATTGGTTTTAATTTATTTAAGATAGGTCATGCAGTAATCCATTTGCAATTAAAGTTTGCAGTTGTTAGAGAAGCAGGGTTTAAATATACTGTAATAAAGCTTACTATAATAATTGTTCCCAGTTCATCATTTTTGGAAGAACTTTAAAAGCCTTTGGTATTTTACCACTCCGGTAACGAGATAATACTAAGCCAATCTCGCGATACATTTCTACAACCGCTGGATCCATCTGTTTTATCTAAAATTAACAAAAATGAAAAGGGTTTAGTACCAAATCTTCTCATCCGATTTAAATTATCGATATCAATACAAGTTTTTATCACAAACAAAAATTCTAATTTTGTCAAAATTCTTTTCGAGAAAGATACCACAAAGTCATCATCTTCTGGACACACTGATTGAAATTCAAGTTCCGCTTTCTTCTTCTCAATCTTTTTAATTATTATGTCGTTAAATGTCCGCGATGGAGTATCAGTTTTTGACATAAACTTTTCGATTGCTCTTTCATCTTCCGGATTTATTGGCTGCAACAAATCACTGATATGTAAAAACTCATCATTGACAGATTCCTTATTACTACAAAAATAACTGCAGCGCATTCTCATCTTCCTTCATTTTTTGAAATCTTATCTCCGCGAATGATTTAATGAATTAAATTTCATAATTTTAAAATTCATTCTTTGCATTAAAATCCGTTCCATCAACATAAGAGAATTCATATCTGCATTAACAAACTGGAATGTTTTTTAATAAAAGTATGAAAAAAATATGCATTAACCAAAACAGCATCGTCATAATCATCATTATCAGAGATGAAGTCGTCGTCCGAGGGAGAATTCGAAGAATCGTTCCCAAGATTTACTTTTCGTATCCTTAAATAATTAACTTTTTAGCGAATCTGGTATGATAAATGCAGCACCGTCATAGTTTAATAAGGTTGCAGATTTTGAAAATCTCTGTTCCAAAGTTAACCTCAAAAGAAAATAATAAATAAACTAACATACAACCGCTTGTCGAATGTTCCAATCAACAAAGTCTTTCAACAATTTAGTGCATATAAACTACTATGTTTACATGTATAGTAAAATCGATGAACACCATAACTATATGAAACAAAAATAAATCGTTATGAAAAACAATTACGTAACCTTTCTAACTTATCCTTCTGTATTATATCCTCCGTCTTTGTTTCCTCCATGGCTTCTATATCTTGTTTTTGTTTCCAAGCCGTTTTCAGGATTTTATTTGATAGCGATTCATCGATATACTGCAAAAACAAAAACCACATGGCTGAGAGAATCATATGACTTTCTCACAAATCAAAAGGTTAGCTATTTAAAATAGCGTAAGTTCTAGCGACATTTATGACATAGTCTTACTTCATCGACCGATCTCTCCCGTTTCAATTTTCGCTGCTTCACGCGTGCTACATCACGCCCACTTTCACGTTTACTACGTTCAATTTGCAGATCCAGTGGAATTGCTGACTTGGAAATCAAATCACCGGCGCCTGATTTCAGTTTCTTCGATTTACCCATCTGCAAACCACTTCTTATCACTGAATAACTTCATCAAAACAATATCCAACAACGGAAAGTTAATCAACCTCCCATGTACTTCTGCTCTCCCTGCCCTCCTGCCCTCATTCATTTTTTAACAGATTGTTAAATCTACTAAATTAGAAATGTTTATGCAATTGTGTTATCCTACAGTAGTACTTCTATTGATGGAGAGTGACGCTTTTCGCTAGCTGAATTTGACAAGTCTCATCTACATTTAAATATTACTACATAAGTAAATTAAATATTACTACATTGAGGATTCTGTGATATTAATCTGCCCCATATCAGCCGCAACGATCCTTATCCTTCTATGCCCGTCAATATCACATTAGTTTATGAAATATTCCATTTTTTTTTCATAAATTGTTTCACATTATTTTACTTCCCGTTTATGAAATAAATTGTTTCACATTATTTTTTACTTTCCGCACTTTCACAGTAAAATAACGTGAAACAATTTATGGAATATGGAATATTTTTTCTATACTATGATTAGACTAAGACTAAAAATTTAAGAGCCTGAAGAATAAGTTCTAAGCATTTTCGGTTTCACTTCAACATTATCTTTTTAGCTGATCAATGTGATAGATGAGATTTGGAACGTCATTGTGAGTACATTCATCATAAAATTGAAATAGCTGCTGGATGTATGTGCAATCGAAAGTTTTGCTTTATTGTAATTACAACGTCCCTCGTGACTTTTTTAAACTAATTATGAAGATGAAAAATTAGGGGAGAAGAGGCGCTTTTTTAGAGAGATACCTTTTCTATCCATTTGAGTCTCTTAAGTTTTATTTAACTTGATATTTAAAGCACAATTATCATTAATAATACAAAAGAAGATTTCTCGAGAACTTTGCATAAGAGTAATTGTTTCTGACACTAACTGTAGGATTTAAGTAACGGAAGGTGTGGATTAAGTTATTATTTTCAAATGTATACGCTGCTGGCAAGCTGCTCTTTTTTAATCATGGTATTCATTTTTTCTAAGTTTTATTCCGTGATTATACTCCAATTGATTATGGTTGCATTTTTTGGCACATTTAATTCTTATTCTCCTCTGAGTATTGTACCGCCGTTGTAAGTGTAAGAGATGTTCCAGAAATTTCGAGTTTATATCTATGTTATTTTTATCAAAGATTGTTGTAGGACTTAATTAATTAACCCAATGCCTCGTTTTGCTGAAGTTAATTAATTAACCGATGCTTTGTTTTGCTAAAGTTAATTGAAATCAGAGTAGATATATTTGAAATTCAATCTAAAGCGGAAAAATAACGATAGGGATTAATAGCTACGAAAGAATTTGATCCTGAGCTACGAAGGGATTCATAGGAACCCAATGTAGTTTCATTGGGTTAATGCAGAACATGGGATTATCTTAGAACTTACAGGTTGTAGCCGTACAAACTGGCGAACGTGAAGATATAGTTTGCTTCAATGGAACTTTGGATTGGAAACAGGATTTGAATAGAGCTGAATCACCATGCTTTGGAGTTGCAAAAATAAGATAACGGTGCAATTATATTGTGCATGGCCGAGCATCCATTAGCTATTACACTGAAGTTCAATCACTCTATTACAGGTGAAGTTGGTGATGGATTGGGATAAAGCAAATAATTATTGCAAGGAGGGCTGTGGACAATTACCAACATCGAGTGGCGATGAGATTAATTTACTGCAAATTATATTTTCAGAGATTGGTATGTTTTAATTCGTCTTTATCAACTTCTGCTAGAAAGAGAAAGGAGTCATGTTTTGAGTTTGCAGATAATGATAAAGTTTTTTAAATTTAATTTATGCAAATTTATATTAGTCCAATAAGTCGACTTATTTTTTCAATGGTTGTAATGGTATATTTTATATCGATAGCAGTTACTCTTGAAACATCAATGGTTGTAATGGTATATTTTTTCAATGGTTGTAATGGTATATTTTATATCGATAGCAGTTATTCTTGAAACATCTAATAACGGCATTTCCATAGCAGCAATCGATTTCATATGTATGTATAAGGCAAATACTGTCTTGCGTTAAAATATAATTTCAGTTTTTTAGAATATGAAGCAGCTATGAAAAAAGATAATTATACATCGGTGGTATGCGAACATCGAAATTCAGCATGTTTGCTTTTAATATTTTCCTTTAAAGTAAGACTATGCTAAAATTGTTTGATGAAAAGACAGTAAATGTGTCATATTTAAAGATGTTTGAAAATCTCGGGAGAATTATTGGTAAACTCTGATGCTTCTGGGATGGCTATCAAGCTAAGATGTATTATAATCTTTTCTTACCGCATAACTTTGTTTTCCAGTGTCAGTTATTGCAAACCAAAGATGTGATGATGGATTTGTGTTGCTTGCGATTAATAATGCTTCAAAATGTTACTTATTCCATAAGTTCGCCGATCCATTAATGGTTTGTTATTTATTACACGGATCAAAAAAAAATTGGAGGAGTAAGAATGCTTTATAAATTATTCCTTAATATAGCTTCTACACACAAATCGTTCATGTTCAAATGTTTTGGTTAAAAATGGCTTACAGTAATCCAAATTGAAGCTCTCGGTTTTGTAAACACTATGAACTCATACATTCTATCATTTGTGGCTCTCAATGATCAATCATCAGTTGTATTTTTTTGCTTACTCATTCGTCAGTTCATCAATTAAATAAATTTTTTGCAAAATGTGAAAATATTTTTCACAGAAGTAAGTTATTTGGAAATATCGATTCTAATTTCAGAGTGGTAGTGATTTTAAAACGGTTTCAAGCTACTGCAAATCTCAAAATGCTGAATTATTTAAGCCAATCGACTCAGGCGATCTTTATGTCATGCGAAGTAACGGTTCAGAAAAAAGTCGCTAAAAACTGCTAATATATGATGCTCCTGATGCTTCTTCCTTCAGTGTGAATTAGTGATGAGAGGTGGGAAAAAGCATAGTGATGTTTAAGGTTAAGTATTTCTAATATTAAAACTGTATTTTTATCGCTAGTAGTTAAACACTTCTTTGCCATTGTCAGAAGTTGTCAACAAAGAACTATCAGATTTGAAGGCTGTAATAGATTCGTATTTATGGTTGTATTTATTATATTGCTTGAACAAATCTATTTTGATACTTTCCCTCCTTTGACAAATTAGAACACACATAAACTATGTAAGTGGGATAGTGATGAATATAACTAGAGTAAAAAATTTCGGCGCTGTTTTGAAAATGCGTAGTTTTCAGCATTCGGTCCTTTCCTTTTTGAAATGATCTACATCGGAAAAACTTCCCAAAAATATTTTCGAAATATTTGTGGGAAATTTTTCCTGCTTGAGAGATATATGCCGGATGTTGATTGCATGTGACAGATGTTATCAACGTTTCTCCTTAATGTCACGTTTGTCTGAATACGAGGGAATTATTTTTGATTTTTACAACCTCTTGAATCATGTTACATAATGAATAGCTTCCATGACATAAGTAGTTCGTAGTTTTTTAGAAGACAATTTTATGTGCATTATGATTGCTGATAACTCATGATAATCTTTTTGTATATTAGCTTCAGATATAAATATAAATTCTTCAGCTAATGACATATTTTCAGAAATTGGTGAAACATCAAACTATGCCGTTAGCGATTTCAAAGATATTCATAGACAGTATGGATACATCGGTCAGAAAGTCAAAATGCTAAGGAGGAACCTATGACAGTTGCTGGTTATAAATATGCAATCGTTGGGGTAAGACTGTCTGCGTTTTTCGTTGCCAGTCAAATTGAAATGAAAATGTACCTTAAATAAAATAAATTTTTAAAATTTAAGAAGCATTTGAATGACTAACTAACTGTAGGCGCACTTTTCAGAGGTTGCATAGCATACTTGTTTATACAAATATAAAATGTTTAACAGGCTAAAAAATTAATTCATTCTTTAAAATTTGAAAAAAAAAGGGAATAATTCATGCGTTCCTCAAGCAGAATCGTTATTGCTCACTTTGTAATAAAAAAGTTGTTCTAAAGTTCTTGGGTTTGAAAATTTTTTAGATCAACATCACTACTTCGAATTCTGCAGAAGCAGTTTGTTTTATGCTGGAATTGCCCGGCGGCTGTTAGTTTTTGAAACTACTTTTTAATTTAGCGAACTCTTTGAATTTACTTTTTCCTTGTTCTCACTTCATCTATTCTCTTAATTCTTTCATTTCTTCTGGAAAATCTGAAACGTCTAATTAAAAAGTAAAAATTATTATTCAAAAATTTCTGGCACTCAGCCAGGTTAATCTTGATCATATCAAGTATTCACTGGGTTTAAAACATGCAAAATTCGGATTAGCATTATTCATTGACTTCAACATAGAGATGAACACATGGTGAAAACAGTAAGGACATACTCCTTTGGTATACATCGAAATCCTGGACAACTATAAAAAGAGAGCTTTGAAGAGAAAGGGGAACGGGACTTGTCCGTAGGATTGATTTTGCAAGATTTTTAATTTCACAAGAAAAGAAATTCATCATATTGATTTAATAAACTTTTAGCAGTCGTTCAAAGTCCCTGCGAAATGAAATCCGATTTTGCTCTTTGTGTTAAAAATTGTTAGTTTCTTTTGTTTCCAAAATTCTCCGAATTTTTCATACAGTCTTCTTAGAAAATATGCTTAGGCTTAAAGATAATCAATTAATTTGTAAAAATTTAAGCATATATTTTTCTTGACAAAATGGATGATATTGCAATAGTGCATATTTCAGCACAACCAAAGGTAGAAAAAATTCAAAATATTCTGGCGATGGATGATTTCATTATCACTGATCTGAACCAAGAAATAATGCTAAAGGAAATTGACGATTTGTCAGATCTTGGTGACAATTTGTCAAATCTACCTGAAGTAAAACGAACTGTGAGAATGTTTTCTACATCATCAATCTTTTATCATATCGCTATCTGTTGCCATATTCATTATTTTATAAACATTTGCTTGTGATTTAGCTATTTCAAATTAAATTAATTTTAAATTGCTCTTCTACATCCAGATCATGTTCACAGTTTAAAATGTGATTTTAATAAGCAGAACAATAATCAGTTTATGCAGTTATGTGCTAATTCTTTTGCTCTTGATATTATTTGTCAACGGTTGAAGTAGCCAATTTGTTCTTTCGGCTTTTCAGCCTGCTTGTAACAAATTCACTTCTTTTTCTCATATCGACAAAAAAATGTGTCAGTGTTGTTATGGAAGTAAAAAATTCTTGCAACTGAGACATGCTATTACTCCTCAAAGACAAATGATGATATTTATATATGTGAAGGAAGACCTGTCTAGCTTCCGAAGAAGTGGTATATATGTATTTATGAAGTTGAATAAGCCCACCCTTGACCTTAACATTTCCTAAATAATCATTCAGATCAGTTGAGTTTGAAGTGTGCGAATGTTTGAATATCATCGAGAATAATGCATGAAATGCTAGATTGACTTGTAGAAACTTTATAGTCATAGAAAATTAAAAGTTATTGATGTTCAACACAATTTGACATAAAGGATCATGCAATTGCACAAAAATGAATGAATGATAAAATGATACAACAATGATTATCGATGACATACGAAGTTATTTATGAGTAAACATTTCCCTCTACTTCGTCATTTTAATCAGTGAAGTTGCATTGAACGGTGTTATGTGATGGAATGCGTTGTATGCAGCGGAATTTTTTCACCGGGGATGATTCTTCAATTCACACCTTGTTTGCATATCTTCTGCAAATATTGCGTGGAACGATGGAGAAATACACGTAAGGTTAATATTTTTTTGGAGTGATTTCTTCGTTTGTAATTTATCCTTAGGAATATTTCAAATTTATGAAATTTCATAAAATAAATGTTTTTTAGATAGAATTAAATTCAAAAATTACCTCAGACAGGCATCAAAAGATCGTTTCACCTATGGTAAATTTCCTAATTTATCATTAATATTATTTAATGCCAAATATTATTATCGCTGATATTACCTTATCAATTCGCATTTCTAATTTAAAGAGAAGAAATATTTTCATTCGAAAATTTTCTTCCTCCTTGTCTGTTTCCATGATGGAATTTGGACAGATTATATGTTGTGCTAAGAACTTTACCCTTTCACCCTATTTTTTATTTTTATATATTGCCTATCTGTGATAGGTGATAGGCAACAGAAATAAAAATAATAATGGAAAAGTGAGATTCTAGCTAGATTTTATCATTTACATATACGTCTGTAAATTTGTCGTAAATGAATCAGATTTGTCTTGCATCGAATTGCTTCACAGTATTTGATGATAGCTGCAATAGACGTTTGAATTGGAAATATTGCGAAAGTCAATTCTGTTGTCGGTTAGCATTATTGATGTTAATTCGCTCTCTTCAAGGATTAGCTTGTCAGGAAGCTTGCTTTTATTGCATTTGTAATAATTATAATTTGAATTCAATTTTAATTTGATTCATTATTGTTATGAAGGCCAAAATAAAAATGTTGAGTTGAAAACAAATTCCTACACCTATAATAAGTGAATAAAGTTTGATGTTTCGTTTGCAACATTTTTCAAATGTTGTTTTTATTCTCATTTCTGCTTGAGTTGTAACCAAAGTTTATCATCTAGTGATAATTTAAATTTAATTTAAACATTATAAAATGAATCTTATTTGTCTCTTCATTTCTCACTCATCATCTTCTCTAAGATCATTTGAATTCCAACTTTTAAGCTAAATGGATAAATCTATCAAACTTTATTTTTTGGATAGATAAAAGATAAATTTGGATAAATAGACATTTCTGTCCTTTGTTGAACATATTAAATTGCTTACAAAGTAGTTTTTAATTTTGCAGACAACTTTCGGCGGTTCGGTTGGAATGTTTGCCATGTAAACATAATATTTGTTCAACATGTATGGAAGAATACAAACAATTATCCAATCCAGGTTTCCATTTTTAGTAATGCAAATGATATTATGTATACTAACATCTGTTTACAACAGCCAAACTTCACTTACATTTTATCATCTAATTTGTTAAATAAACATATTTCTGCAGAAGTGATCGATGTTTCAGTTTGCCCAGTGGAAGGATGTGATGGAAAGATATTCGAAACGGATGAGTCCAACCTATGCGATGGTATATGTAAGAAATACCTAGAAGAAGGCAAATATATAACGACAAAGTGCTGCCAAGCAAGAATATGTTTTTCTTGTTTCGAGACTATATTTGGCTGTAAATATTCTCCAGGTAGTCATTTTGATTTTATCTAAATAGTTCGTTTTGAAAATTTTAAACGAAACTTTGAACTGTTAAAGGTATAAAATATTTTACGAAAATTTTATCAATTTTTTTTTAAAGAAATTCTCATGACATTATGGTAAAATTTTTGTGAAGTACTTTTTTTTATACCTCCTATAGAAAAGAAATAGAAATTTCAAATTTGAAATTTATTCTTATCACCACAAATATTTTCTTCTTTTTTTGAGAAGAAGTTGAATGTATTATTCTTCAGATAGTGAAGAAAAATGCCGTTCTACAGAATGCCTTAAACGTTCTGATGTTAATGAAATTGGATCGGTACATTTGCTCTTTTTTCATTATTTGTAATTATGATATTTTCCCACTTGAAATTGCTGGCAAATTGAAAAAAACATCTCTGCTTAAACTTGCAAAGATAAGATTATTATAAACACCAACCAGTTCAACAAACTGATTATTGTAAAAAATTTTTGAGGAAATGTTAATCTCTCGTTCTAAAAGTACGAATGTTAATTTAATGCCAAATCAATCTGTCAGATAGCGCAATGTCAAGCTGGATTTGAATGTAAAAATTTGGCAGTTAGTGGGTTTCCATCAAAAGATGAATGCGAACATGCTGTATGCATGCAATGCCTCGAGCAAATGATCAAGGATTGTGAATCTGTTGGTTAGTTGTATCGTATTTAGTAATTTCTATAGAATGTATAACTTTGAATAACTGCATAAATATTACATGCATATCCGTACGTATTACTGTAAGTTTATGAAATTTGGAACGCTTTCGTTATAAACATTGTTTTTACAAAGAATGAATCAAGGTTCTCTACCACATTGTCCTAAAGAATCGTGCAGTGCATTGTATAGTGTGGAATCCGTAATTGCTATTCGTGCAATGTTACCCGAAAAATCTTCATTCTTCAATAAACTTTCACTGGATAACAATTACTGTTATATGATCAAGGATGAAACAATCACTGTTAGTAGTAATAGAATATTGCTGTCGTTAAATACTGTAACTTGTAATATGTTCATAATTAGAGTAATGCGTAGATATGCTGAAATCATCATTTAAACAATCACGAAATTAATGTTAAAAAGTGTTCCAAAGGATTTTTTAATATATATAGAGAAGTATATGTACTCTTTAGAAATTAATATTCTTTCTTTTAGCCTATAAAATTTTCGACAAATTTCAAATCAATGCAGAGGTACTTTGAAATTAATGTTAAACTAAGTGATGGTAGTGAGAGTAAGAAACTTCCATTCGATCGAGTTGGTACAATTGCTGATTTGGTCAGAGAAATAAGAAGAGAATTGAACATCGCTCCTGAAGAGAAGGTTGAATTTAATTTCCTTTTTTTTGTTTCAAATAAATAAAGTTCTGTTGCCTGCCATGTCAAATACTACCGTTTTGCTGCGCTACAAGCTTTTTATTAGCAACTGCTGACGAAATCTTCCGCAGTATTTAGGTTTACGGGTATTACTTGATACGATCTTTGAGTGCCGAAGATAAACCGGATGAGGATGGTTTGGATAAACCAGCAGAGAAATTGGAATTTACTGCAGAATCAATCAATGAAACTGTGGAAAAATTAAACCTTTCTGCGGCGATAACAATTGTGGCCGATATGGCTGGAATCGTTCAAGTTAAAAGTGATATTAAAAATAGTACAGGAATCTGAAATTTAGAACGGCCTATTTGATCGCAATATTTGTTTTATTATGTTAAATCTGCCGTGCTATCACTATATTACTGCTATATCTGGTGTATTTATGTTTTTTCAATGTATAATTTATTTACTAATTCCTAATTTTTCTTTAACTTGTCGAAGTCCAAACGATGAATAAACTTTTCATATCATGACAAATTGAAATTTTCAATATGTAACTATTTTACTTCCAGTTTCCAGTTTCCAATTCCTAAAAATAAGTAAGTAATGATGAGTGTGTTATTTACTGATCTCTAATATTAGTTTCTACAAGTTGAAAGTATATTAGTTTCCTTCATTGCTCATAACATATGTTGGTAGCAGTTTATTATTTTACAGTATTTAATTGTGAATTTTGACATTTTTTCATTTCAGTTATCCTTAAAAGGACTAGTAATACAAAATTTACAATTTGTGAAATTATCAAATTGTGATGAATCAGTTATTAATAATTATTGGAGATTTTGCTAGTTTGATCTGCCATTTGAGAATTATATATCGTTTTTGATAAATCATCTAACTATTATCTTAAATCATTTAACTATTATCATATAAAATAATTTCGTGTTCATTTATGTAAAATTAGGAAAAACAATGAATTTTATTAAAAGACAATATATCATCGAAGTAAAATATCAATTAAATAAATAGATTGGACAATTTGTTACTGTTAAAGTTCGTGGTAGTGTTGAATGGTTGTATGTATCTTCTCTGCATTTTGCTGAAATTATTAATGGTGCATTAGAATACATTACAAGTTCATTTCGTTAATTAATTAAATTTGATCCCATGAAGTTTATAATCTTTAATATGATAATTCTTGTTTTATTTTAGACACTAAAATTTATAATCACATGGAATTCTGTGTCTGCATTAATAAACATTATAGATAAAACAATTATCATTATAAATATACTTGTTTATATCATATATGAGCTAAGCTAAATGAATGGATAGTTTGTTCTTAACAGTTGAATGATATCTAATACCTTTGTCTTTCATAAAGATAGCTGAAGAAATTTTGTAAAATGGAAAAAAAGAAGATTGAAAAATTTATTTCTAAGGAACTGTTTTTATAGGCATCATATAATTATAATAAAGCCTGTTTTTATAGGCCTGTTTTTATAGGTAAAAAGTTTACAAAACAGGAAATTTCTATTGAATAATATACCGGCAGAACAATACTGTATGCAAATTATGCCATTTAAAAAAATTTTTGAAAACAAAAGAAATGTATTATAATTTGTAAACTTCGATAGAGTCAAAATTAAACAATTTTTACGTTGTCAGTAAGTTCTGGAGGAAAGTGAACAATAAATTGTTACGCCTATTTCATTATCTCATTCTCATTATCCTTTATCCGAAATTATATCTGTTTGAAACTTCTGTTTTGAAATGAACCTATGAAATTCGGTTAGCATTTTTATAAAAGCATAGCCAAGATTTTCGGGCTTAAATTTGATGAGAGAGCAATTAACCGATGAATCATTCTATTTTGACTATGATGTTTATCCCTCTTCTTTTACAAAAATAAGCTTTAGTTTTAGACTTTGAACATAACATTTAATTGTAGATGATAATGATGCGATTAATAGAACTGCTAATCCTATACTATATGGTATGAGAGTCGAACGAAGACTGTAAGTTTTTATTAAAATTTTATTTACTAAAATATAGCTCTTCAATTCTCCCATATTTGATACTGAAGTATAATATGATCGATTGATTTATTATTGATTAATATAAATATTATCCATACAGAGATGATGATTATTTCAATTTTGTAACTCGATTGGTGAAAAATCAGGAAAAACAACAATTGATTGTTTTTGGTGAACATTTATCAAATGTTAGTCGATTTTGGTTCTCAGTTGATTTCACGTGTGCACCTGAAAAGATCATTCATTCGGCATATTTAAATGTACAAATTGAACGACGAATAGATGATCATATGCTACAGTGTGTTGTCAATACCGTAAGCGTGTTTCTACATATCATAATGATAATGATAATAATGATGATGATATAGGATGCTGTAGAAGAGTGAAAACTTTTTGCTTTAATGGAAAAACTTTTAGAATATTGTATAAATATCACTTAAGTAACTAACTATCTATGGGTAACGATAATTCATATTAGTTAATAATATTTATAAGTTTTCAGTTAGGTTCAAATATAACCCGCCCAATGCAATTATGTGTCGAACCATCTCAGCTAATGCCGCAGCCTAGTATGGAAAATATGGAATTTACACAGATTATTTTGGAAGAAACAGTGACTCATTTATTTCCTCTTTACATCCAATTAATGATAATTTGTATGTGTGCCACGTTAAGCGCCATATTCTCAGGCCTTACCACTGGTTTGATGGCACTAAGTACCGACGATCTTAAGGTAAATAAAGTAACAATGTTGCAGAAAACATGATCTGAATGACTGAGATGTATTGTTGCATCATTTAAGTTTATTCTGATATATACTCCATGTATTACTCGTATACTGAATATGTATAATACATCGTAAATGCATGCATTTACAATTTCCGCTTCTATTTCAGTTAATAGCGCAAGGTAGCGAAGATAAGAAGGAACGTGAATATGCTTCCAATATTTTACCATTACGTGCTCGTGGGAATTTCTTACTTTGTTCAATCGTACTTGGCAATGCTATTTGCAATACATTGGTCACATTGCTTATCAGTGATTTATGCGAATCAGTGAATGGATATTTCCTTAATGTAATACATATCCATAAATTACCCCTTCCTGCTTGTTACCAAACATAGCCACGTCAACTTTATGACTTATAGTAAACAAACTTTCTAGATTGCATTATCGTTAGTGATACCAACTGCCATAATCACTTTGCTTGGCGATATTATTCCGCAAGCTATATGCGCACGGTATTCTCATTCTTCTATTAATTTTACATTAATCTTTTTTTATCAACTTTTTGGAATTAAATTTCAATTTTTAATAAAGTCCTCTTACATTAATTATAGTTATATGGTATATAAGTTTGAATTTATCAAAGTTTATTCATTAGCGCAATTGCCTTAGCCATGCTTTATGTATTGGCAGCCGAACGCGCTATCTGACAATATTTTTCATGGTGCTTTCTGCGCCTCTTTCATATCCCTTTTCGCTTGCTCTCGATTGCTTGCTTGGTAAAGAAGGTCGAGATGTTTATGATCGAAAAACTCTTCGTGCATTGATTACTATGCAACGAGATTTAACCAAAGGTAATTTTTTGTTTTTCGATAATATCAGGAGATGAGCAATAGAATACTTCTTAAATCATCAAAATTCATCGTATCATTCCCATTCTCTCTTTATTGCTATTTCAAGAAAAATTAAGCAATCAAATGGATGGTGAAACAACGGATTTGGTGCTGGCAGCTTTCGATTTACCAGAAAAGATAGTCAAATCGGTAATGACTCCTATCGATAAGATATTCATGCTATCTGATCAAAGTGTTATCGATAAAACACTTCTAAAGACTATTGCTGCCAAAGGCCGTACCCGAATTCCAATCTACAGTGGCACTGATCGCAATACGGTTCATTTATTTAAAATGATTTCAGTTGCTTTTCTTTTTAAAGTTAATTGCAATCATTATAATTTTTCTAAATTGAAAATTGAAATGGATGAATTCAAGCTAATTTTTTGCTTCACGTCATTTTCTATATCAAATCAGCACTAACTAATTTTAAGTATAATAAAAGTTATTGCTGTAATTTGCGTCTTTATTCTACTTCCTGCATTTTTACCTGGTTCTTTATCACCCCTGCTTTAGATTATGGCGATATTAAATATGAAAGATTTACTACCATTTTGTAAGACAAGTTTCTTAAACATTGGTACAGTTGTGCAACTGTGGAAGCGTAGCAGTCAATTTCGCTTCATTATTGATAGTATGCCAGTTTTGCAATTACTTATCGAAATGAGGGCTGGGATACACATCGCTATGGTTGTCACTTATGATGAGCAAAAACGAGACTACATCGTTCAGGGACTTGTTACACTTGAAGATCTCATCGAAGAGGTTGTTATTATTTATAAATTTAACAATATGTGGTTAATTATATAGCATTATAAATTACTAACCAATGAATGAATCCTACTGTATCCTATGAAAATGACAAAATCACATTTAGTAATAAATATGACAATACTAAATGATAGTCAAAAAAACTGTATGACCTTTATAATTTGAATAACCTTAATTGCTCTTCATCTATGATTGTTCTACGCATAGGTTTGAAATTTTCTTGAATTGTTCTCTGTTTTACCTATTCCATAATTAATCTTTCTGAAGTTCTCATTCTTTTCCATCTTAATCAGTCTAGTTTACTAAACATTTCAACAACATATAATAAAGCAAAAATCGTGAACATCATTTCTCCCTTTGTTACTGAATTACTAACAATTATTAAATTAATGAAAACGATAAATAACAAGCAATCACAATGACAACAATCATAAGACTCATGCTAGAAGTGATCATTGAAAGGATTCAAAGTGCCTGATGGATAACATTGCCGGGGATTATTTTGTAAGGTGACAGGAAAGGAATCAGCTAATATTTTAGTAGAGCAAAAATGGCTAGCTGATTGGCAAAATGCTAATGCAAGCTTGCAGATGGTCTACAAAAAAGATATCATTTCGTCGTGATCGATCGATTCGTCGTGATGGCAGCATTTCAGAAAGTAAATATCAGGAATGAAATACATTTGGGAACTGTCAATTGCTATCGCTTCTCGTAATTATTGTGATCCGCTCAGCAAAAATGTGGGGAAAAATGAATTAGTGATGAAAAAATATAAGATTCTGGCAGACGAACGAACTCATGCTTTGCATACAAAGAATCATAAATTATAAATGCGAAGATCGACAAGAAATGCGATTTTTGGCGTATATCAGAACGTCTCAAAAGAATTCGAAATATGAAATATGAGGAAATAATAGTAAAGAATACTAAATGAAGGAATTCAAAAAGTTATCCTGAATGAATATCGGAAATGAATTATAAAATACTGAAAACGAAATTAGATGAAAGAAATATTATTCATATGGTGAAATTGGATTGTAACAATGGTTCATGTTGCAGTAAAATAATTAATAAATAAAATTAAGCTGTGAACTGAAGGTAGACAAGGAGATAGCCAACAATAAATTAAATTATCGGCTTACTTAAATTCACTAGTTATATTAAATTCAAGTAAGTAACAAAGAGGAGATTATTTCAAAAGTAAGCAAGCAGTCAAGAAGAAGAAGGCCTTCAGTGGCTGCCTTAATCCAAAAAGCAAAGACGCCGACAAAAACGCTGATGAAGAAGGCAAGAGTGAATTCGATGTGATGCTGATGAATTGTTTTAGAAGGCAAGAAGACATGAATAAAGATATTAGCCGAGTAAAGGTCGATAAAAATACTGTATCAAATTTTGTGGGATAGGCGATTTCTTTCTTATATACAAGTTCCATTCACCTAACATCTACTACTTGTTAATATAAGGAAAGTCAACTAGTCTTGCTTTAGAGTGAAAGGATTTTTTTCTTTGAAAATTGAAATTAAATTATCCGACTTAATTTCACCTGGAATCGGAAATCTAACTTAAAATGAGAAATTTAAAGCAGAACCCGAAAGCTTGACCCAAAATGATTTTTTTTCCTTACCAATAATTAATTAGACCAAAGTAGGGATATAATAGTTGTATTACAGGTAGTTGGGGAAATTTTTGATGAACAAGACGTAAGAATTCGAAGAGCAGGTCAAATGAGCCGAAATTGGCGAAGAACGCATGTATACATGTGATCCATTCCACCCTTATGATTCAAGCTTATTAAATTCATTTTTTCATTCATTGTCTCTGCAACAAAGTCACACGATGATAATTTCATTTCGTGTCATTCACTCCTAAATTTCGATTTGTAAAAGAAGAGACAATTATGTGCTCAGATGTTCCCATAAAATTGCTCACATAAATGACCATCTGATTAGTGAAATAAGAGTTTGACCGGCACAACTGGATGATCGAGAAAGTAAAATGCTTAAATGATATCTGAAATATAAATGGATATCGGTTTATTGGTAAGTAAATATATCAGGATAGAAAGTAATCATTCCGTCATTGATGCAGTTTTGTAAAGTGACAATTGAAAAACTGAATCGAAAATCAAGAAAGAAATGAAATCCGGAAACTGTTAAAGAAATGATTTTGATCACTAATTTCCACCAAATTATAACGCAATGATAAAAATGACAAATGAGTTGTGAGATAATTGATTGAGTTAATGTATAATTCCAAAAGAAATTATTGTAAAGAGAAATTGGAAGAATTTGCTGGCATATATTATTGATCTTTGTGACTACAGGATGCAAACTTCCGGTCGACATAATCAACGGAATTCTATTATGATGTATATATACGTACACACATTCAGTATTTGTTACCGGAATATTTTCAAATATGCATTCTATTATTCCGGTTTAAGAAATGTAACATAAATCAGTCGTTTGATTCTTCATGCTTTTCAGCGTAAGATGTTGATTCGTTTATCTCAGATTGGCATGTTATCTCATTAAGTTATCACGTAATATAACCTGATTCCGCTTCTTATTTTATCCGATTGTTATATACTAAACAACTGTATCATTTGCAAATCTTATCCTTTTCGTCCTTTAGAAATTATTTGAAAATTTAGTTGTAATTTTGCAAACATTTCATCACCACGAAAAACAAGTCAACCTTTCAAACGATGGGGTGGTGCTGACAGAGTGGTAGAAATGTAGAGAGAACCAACCAAACATCGATTTCGTATGCGATAACTCTCTTTTTTCCGTCCTTGAATTGACGAAATTTTCGATATCAGCTATTTTTCTGCTTTTATATACAACCGATACTATTCACTTGAATATATATTTTAGATTAGATTAGTGAATAAATTTTTGGGTAGTAAAATTTAAATTTCAACTGATGTGTTTTAATTTTGTTCTTGTAACGAAAACGAATTTCATTGATCGCTCGTAACGCTCATATTGTTGCTATTCGGGATGATCGATTTCTGTTTTCTAATAATCTGTGCCGGTTTGATTGGTTATAGTGTAGTGGTTGGAATGTGAGAGATAAGAAAGAAAGGTAAGAGGAATGGGTTCACGTTCGTTTAATTGTTGTTAATCAGTCAGCATAGAGGACATAAATATAATGACAAGAGAAGGTGAGAAGCTCCGGTCACTCTATACCGGTCACTCTGTACCATATGTATCCTCTCATTTTTTCAGATCGCACATTGTCATTTCTTTCCTTCTCTAATTTCCGTTTATTCCTTTCTGTAATGATGGAATTGTTTAAGATAACGAAAGAATTGCTGGGATGATGATATCAGAGTTGTAATTTGTAAACATTTATTTATTCTGTTTCAGATAATATTTCTTGAATTGTGATGATTTTTTAAATAATACGATTAAAAAGCCTAAATATTTCATTTGATAAAATTAATTCAAAGCAGAAATAATAATATCGTAATCGATCGATCGTGTTGTAATTGCTTTCCAGAAATCTTTCGAATTATTAAAGGGACCAATTCTGTTTTAATTCCCAAGCTAAATTCTAATCCTTTTTCCAATTATTATTCGAATAATGTATCTATGATCTCTCTCTCTCTCTCTGTCTCTTTCTCTTTCTCTCTCTCTGTCTCTTTCTCTTTCTCTCTCTCTCTCTGTCTCTTTCTCTTTCTCTCTCTCGGAATGACTTAATTTTTTGTCTTATTAACAACGTAATAATAAATTATATGTTTATTATATTATGTCTAAATTCAAATAATATAATAAATAATTTAAATTATATATAATTTAGTTATAATATAATGAATAATAATACTAATATAATATAAAATATAAAAAAAGAGGGAAGATTAGAAATATATTGGAAAATTAAAAAATAAAACAATGAAAAGTAAGTATATAATTTGTATTGTAAGTTTAATTTTGATTTTAAAATAAAATTTCCTTATGCATCAAATAGTATTACAGAGAGAGGGAGAGAGGGAGAGAGAGAAAGAGAGAGAGAGAGAGAAAGATATTATATTATGGCTGGAAGAAATTTGTAAATAAGACATTATTGATTACAAACGCATACATTTCATTCATTCATTTATTTATTTATTTATTCAATGTTGTTTTTTTTTTACGAAATCATTCCAATATATCACATTCTCATTAACATAATCAAATAATCACATTTACAGGGAAAGAAGAAAGAGAAAGAAAAGCACAGCTGCTATCATTAAAGGAAGAAGCTGACAATATAAAAGAAATAAATGATAATGGTTATTGACGGAGAGCATGCATATTACGGTTATCATTCATGGCTTAGTATCTTTCAAATGGTAAGTATTATCATTATCAAAGAAATTCTTTTTTTTTCTATCTAATTATCAGAATTTTCTTCTAAGGTAAAATTTTCCACTAAACTTTTTGTTTATGTTATTATTGAGTGTGTTAAGAGAAGGTTAAAGAATGAAACAGCATACAGATGGTTGGTGTTGTTAATTCTTTTATTATCAGTCATTTGGTAAATAACAAATGATAAGCTTATTTGCTTGATGTATTCATTTATTTTTCACAAAATATTACAGTATATACGTTGTATCTCGAAATTGTTATCATAATAATTAAAATTAGATTTAATGAATAACCTTTATTGCAGTAGAATTATATCATTATTCCTCTTAATAGTTATTTGGTATATAAATTAGGTAATAGTAAACATCTATTATCTAATTTATATACCATATAATTTATCAAATGATTACTTTCTAAGTGAAATATTGATTAGATAATTATTATCAAATTTTTAGTTCGATACAAATTATGATGGTTATATTGCAACGCATGATCTGAGACGATTTGTTCGTAATTCAGCAGTTTCATTTGGATTGTCAAAGAAGGAAGCAGATGCTTTATTGAGAAATATTGATGAGAATAATGATCATCTACTTGATTTTGCTGAATTCTGTACTCTGGTATATATATATATATATATATTTGTTTCTTTTTTTTTTGGTTTAATAATATTAATTTAATTTTAGGTAAGATTTTATTGTTCCTTTTCTATAATATTCCCTCTATGAATAATAATAATTGCAGATGAGTAGGGCTAAGAAATTGCGCATGCGACATGTATTGTTTCGGGCAGCGCAAATGGTGGTACCACGAAGCAGTCGAACAGTACCATTCAATTATTTACAACAATACAACTGCTTTCCTCCACCATTTTTTATGATTTTCATATCCATCCTAGAGGTAACTTCATATTACTACTATTGTTGTTAGCTTATTATTTTTCTGAGCATTCAATATTTAATAATCCTAGAAAGTGTTAGAAGTTATTAGGCTAAAGAATACAATAGATGTCCTTTCCGTGTTGCGAAAATTATTCCATGTATCATCCATCATGTATGGATAAACTATAATTAAAATAGGAAAGGATCTTTAATATTAATAATTTTAAACATATTTATCACAAGTAAATCTTTAATAATCTTTAACACCATATTATTATCAGAAGCAGATCTGCAACGGACTTCTTTCCCCATTGTTGAAAAAATGATTATTTCAGGTAGCAATATATGTCTACTATGTTGTGCAATTTAGGAGCGGAATTGAATTATATGGACCAGTGCCGCAAAAATCTCTCTTCATCTTTAACCCTCATAAAATTACCGAAGTGTGGAGATATTTCACTTATATATTTATTCATATTGGGTAAGATTGTTCTTTATAGCTTGTCACGTTTATCAGTGTTTAAAGATTTAAAATTGCAAACTATGAAAAAAATTTTAAAAAATATGATAACACCAGATTTCAGGATAGCACATTTGATTTTCAACGTGTTAACACAAATCATTCTTGGCATTCCACTTGAATTGGTTCATAAATTTTGGCGAATTGCTTTGGTGTATCTATCTGGTGTTCTGGCCGGTAAGTATTGCAAATGTCGCATTTTTCTTTTATTATCTGTATTTTGAGAATTCAAAGATTGAAGCGTTTGGTAACCATACTTAATTTACTTCCGAACTATCTACTTAGCATATTATGTTAATTCTTGTGAAATATTAATTCTTGTCAACATAGAGAAAGCACTTTCGAAACACAACTAATTTTTAGGTTCTTTGCTGAATTACGTCATTGATCCACGGACGTATTTGGCTGGGGCCTCTGGAGGTGTGTATGCTTTACTTGCGGCACATATAGCCGAATTACTTATTAATTGGACCGAGATGGAATACGCATTTTACCGAGCTATTGCTCTAGCATTCTTGATCTCAAGTGACGTATCCTTGGTCATCTATCATCGCTACTACGATAACTCTACAGATAAAGTTCTCTTTCCCTTGTTTAATAGATTAAGCAATCTTTTAATTGTAAATTTTGCAGCAAAATTTATTTTACCCGCTTCAGGTATCTCATCTGTCACATTTTGCTGGCTTCACAGCTGGTGTCTTAATGGGTACCATCGTTCTGCGTAATTTCCGAAAAAAAAATTGGGAACGTTTAATATGGTGGATTGCTTTTGTGGCAACAGGCCTTTTATTCTCAACGCTTGTCCTCCTCAATATCATGCCACATATTGTGAAGCGTCAAGATTCGATTCAACAATAGTCTTTGATACGAAATCACGCCAATCTGGCAAACCATAACTCAGTCCTTTGATCATTCCAAACTATTGTGACATAAAAACACGTGCATTTTATTTGGCCAAGTTTAAACTGAAGCATTAATAGTAATTGATTTTGAGTAAAAAATTAAACCAGATTAGGATCGAATTAACCTGAAACTGAATATGTAAGAAGACCTATGGGCTAAAGTCAGACAATTGAAACTTGAGAAAAATTGGATTTTTCTTCAACTTATATAACGATGCATGAAACGTGACTTCAGAATACTACTTTATGCAATCTGAGGAATACCCGGTAATTGAAAATTTTCTTAAACATTTTGCACGTAATGCTTGGAGTATCATTGCAATGATTTCAAGAATCTGTTGAAAATGTCGGCTACAGTCGTCTTTTTGGCAAAACTTATTTATAGAATCGAAGTCATATTCCTCAACAAATCACTATACAAAGTCTTCTAACTCAAAATTCGACCAGCACTTTAACCAGATGTGAGAAAGAAAACGATTGAGCATTATTAGCATCTAAAATATAAAGCTGCAGACATTAATGACTTACGTACTAGCGAATTAATACCAAGCGATTGAACTCGCCGACATCAGCGAATAGACTGAATAGCAAGTTATTGTACACTTGATATTGTAAATACTTTTTGAAAAGCTGGACTTTTATGCAGGCTTTTATGCAGCAAAAAGCATTGCATGAAAAAAAAATTCGATAATCACACATTTCTTAATAACTACACACTAATCACACACATGATTTTCACACGCTTGAACCACACACTTGATTTTTTACAAATATAAGTCGAAGTACCCTTTGAACTTAATTTATTCGATCTTTCAAATTAAGCAACAATTTAATAATTATAAATGATCAATTAAAAAAACGATATGTTCACCTCTATGTCCTCTACAGAAGAAACTGATATGAATGGCATGGGTTAGAAATTGGTAGAATGTACCTTAGAGTAACAAAAATTATCCATGAAACCGGAAATAATAAAATTATCAACGAAACATATCTCAACTATTTAAGCTAAGATAAACGGAACAACAGAAACAAGTAGTTTAATTTTCAATATTAAACACACTTATAATGAATGGATGGCTCAAGTTCTCAAAAGAACTCAGAAGTCAAATTTCAGGAAGCACTTTTATCAGAGGCACTGCATTTCACCGATCTACCATATAGCAACAAAAAACAAGGAACTTATGAGCGATTCATTACGGAATTTCATATGGAACCTACTCGATCCCTTGGTATCAACCTTAGTTCACTTCCATGTTTCAAAAATATGTTACCAGCTGACTGTGCTGGATTTATACCCACCCCATCATTCGTTATGATAGCACTTGTTGCAGCTGGTACTTTGAATTCTTCGGCCGCAAATTTCAAAACTGCAGTGAAAGGTGTTGATTCTGGCACGCTAAGTCTGGAAACAATGAAGTTAAGTATCTTCGTCGAATACCTCAGAAATTCCAAATTCTAGTAAAGTAGTAAAGTTGTTCTAATGTTTCTAACTCCCAATAAAGTGGTGAACAACAAATACGCAATGTTCATCGTAATAAAAATATTTTCTACCAAATAATCATAAGTGAGCGAGTATGAGTTCGACCTAATTGATGGTTTTTACAATGAAGTTTTTACAATTTTTACAGTGAGTGAAACATAGCAGAAGGTAAAATGAATCAAAATAAAAGGCGTGACAGTCACGAAAACAAAATTATTACGAGTAGTAATTAACAAAATCAATCGTCACAGAATATATTCCTCTTTTTTGAATCATTTCTGCGTTATCATTAAAGACTCCTATCATCATCACAGCAGTATAACTTATCATCCCTATCAGTCTTCATTTTAGTTAAGGAATGGAATAACTTACACCTTAAATGGTAGCTTCGGATCGCTTGTCAATGTTATCTTGAATGTAACTTTTCCAATCGCTTGCTCCGTTGACATTTTTATCAACAAAACAATTCTCCGCAAAGGATCTAAGCACAGTGCAACCGAAATGTATTAACTCCCTAAAAGAAAACCCATCCAACAATTCCGGAACTATCTGTCAGTAGCAGGTAGAACTATTTAACAGTGCAAACCTATCTTAACTTTCCGAGACAACGAGAACGAAAAGCCGCCCCTAAGATTGGAAAGTAAATAATAGCATATATGTGGAGATGATTGGAGAAAGCATGCAATCAGGAAGTTGGGTGAAGACTAGTACTGCAATGATGCAAATAACAGCAGACATAAGCAGAAGTCTAAAAAATGTACCACTAGAGAAGACCACCAGAGGAATGAAGACATAACACGGGGAAGGAAAAGAAAACAGAGAACTAAGACAGGTATGCATTATCAGGCTGAATGTTATGAGCCTTTCTCTACAACCACACCTCGTCTACCGCTATATAGTGGGGGGTCAGCGCGAACGCTATTCCCCCAAACGCAAAAATTATGCTGTTGGCTGACCCCAACTCGGGATAGCCACACAGGTCAGCCTGAACCGAAAGTGCAATGGCCAAGCCTCACTGTGAAGCCCCCGCCTTCTTGATCGCGGAGAACTCCCAGCCAGGTAAGTTTATGGACCCTTCCCTCCACATACTCTTATCATCGTTGCAGGCGATACTCACTCGTTTTTGAGTCTATTCATCAAATTGTGCGACTATTGCGATATATAATGCAGAAAGAGGAGAGACAGGCATGCAGAAAAAAGTCCATTCACATTGAAAATGCTCGTTTTTAACTGAATTTGTGATAATTATTTGATAAATTGATAAGCTTTCTTGAATAACTATTTCTGTCGTTTAAACTGTCAACAATTCGGCATAGTATCAGACCATGTATGCAGCATTAACGTCAATGGATAACGATCAAATGAGACCGATGAAGATACCACCACTGAATTTTCATTATCATTTCCATATATTTATCAATTTAAATTCCTGTAAAAACATATTGCAGAGAACTTCGAAGAAATACTTCGTGCGGGAAACGGAACAGTCGAACTTTTTCTTATCTCCTAATTATTATTATTATTTGTTATTTATTTTATTTTCATAAATTATCAAAGTTATCATCAATTGAAATCCATTTATATGAAAAGTTATAGCGAATTTAGCCAAATCAATTTAGAATTAAATTAAATTATCAGATGATAACAAATGTCGAATGAAATGATGCTGTCAATATTTGCTTTCTTCGTTGCGCCATCATTCCCTCCTTGCAGACGATTCTATACATTATTGATTGAGTGCTTCAGATTTTATACCTTCAAATTAGATTCCATATTTTCATGAGATTCTGTATTTTTCCAAGAAAATATTTAGATTCTAAATTTTTTTGTTATTCTTGAACGAATCTCGTATAGTTTCCCGTGACGGATCAGATCAGTAATTATATTCATAGTTTATGATCAAAATTACACTTAAGTAAATATAATACATGCATAGTTTCTTATAATATAATAATGTATGATTAATTCTTAAAGTATCGGAGCTCTGATATGATAATCAAATCTTTGAAAATTAATCGTTGTACATTTACGTAATGCTTATCAAATTTATTTTAATGAATTTTATTAATGCTATTTCAATAAACTTACTTTAGCTTCAATGAACTGTTAGTTACTACATGTTATTTTTAAGAAAACGATCAAGAAATGTATTCCTACATTGATGAAATTTCATTTTAAAATATTTAACACTAATGAGTTTATTGCTAAGCTTACCTGTGTTACGGCTTTTGAGGTAATGAAGAAAAGTGTAATTGTTAGAGCACAAATGGGCTACTTGGTTATTAATTAACTGATTGGAAATGATTAAGTGTAAAAGGATGTGATAAATTACGATAAGAACAGTGGTATTTTTAAGCCAACATTCTTTCAGTATCATTTTAAAATAATTAAGCAACAGTAATACTTCTAAATTGTAAAATTGCCAAGCAACGGTAATGCTTCTAAGTATTCTAAGTCTCAGGTTTCAAGAATGAATTTTGCCATATATCTGATCATACAGGTTTCAACAAGAAGATTTACTTTTCAAGCAATCGATTCATCAATTTAAAAAAAATTTTGATTCCGTACACTTCACAAAAATGAAGTAGCTTTTCGCATGAAATCCCAAATGAATTTAGTTTCATCCGTAGGAAATACGTCATCTAAAATATTAATGCAACCTAAGTTTCTCCTGTTAGCTTATGTCTACAAATCGCAAAGATTTCGATTTCAACTCCAGGCTATTTTATTCATCAGTTCAGCGAGAAGCAGCCAAGAACTTTGTGACGAATTCTCATGTAATGTAAAAGTTTTGTTTCGTTTAACTTTCACTTGTTATTATTTTGAGATTTCACATACATTGTTACAAACTGGATCATTTCCAACGATTCGAAATTTCAAGGAATCCAAATGACACTTTCCATTACCATTGTTTAATTCAGAAGTATCATCTGAATGAATCAATAAAAAAATACTTCAAATTTCTGATAGCAAAAAGTAACATATACTTGAGGATGTGATGCAGATGGATATAACAAACAAAAATAAAAGTAACAAGTTTAATTCAGAAAAATTTTCACCATATTTTCATTAAATAATATACATTTGATTCCTAGCATCTCTTCAAACAGTTATAGAATTGTTACGGAATGCCAAAATCTTCAACATCATTTATAGCTTTACAAATTTTACAACTCAGTTATTTCCATGTCACTTTATAAGGCTTTTCTTCATCCCAGGCAGTAAACAGAACTTAGCATCAATTTTAAATAGAATCCTTCTTCATCTTTATAGATCAATTATAGACATCTTTAAAATCTAACGCTGTAGTAAATCAAAAATCTTCCGCATTTAAATTTAAATTGGTGGAGTAATCGATAATTTTCTTTTACATCGATATGATTAAAATGAAAGAATATTATGAATAACTTCTATGAGGAAGATATATCCAGAACTATTATAAACTGCAAATTATATGGAAGAAAAAAACTGGTTCATAAATCTATGATCATCCGGAGATATATCGGAACTATTACGAATTCCAAATTATATGGAAAAAGAAAACTGGTTCATAAATCTGTGATCATTCGGCTATTTGTTGATGTTATGACAGTTCTTGTTTCCGATGCTTCAGAAGGTTTTACCCTGAAAGCAGTATGGAATAAATCAGTGGGAAGAATTCGAGAGATTAAAATATTATTTTCAAATAAGTTAAAATGACGGAAATTAATTATAAAGCTGTGATTTCAAAAACTCAAATTAGATTGAATCACAATGAGAGGAAGAATTATTGCCAAAAAAATTACGTTACATTTGGCCAGTAAATTGCGTATGAGGATGTGGTCGATGCATACTACTAGCCATTATGGGTATCCGACTCTGTGATATCTTCTGCAATTAGTATGGTACTAAATGTTTATAATATCTCAGGAGCAAAGTTAGATTTTGAAATGAATCGATAATTGACTTTATAAACAATAAAGCAGATATCGTTTGCTTAAAAGAGTTTGCTAATATAAAGTTTAATTAGTGTTAATAAAACTGTTGTTTACTTGAAAGAGCAATTTGGTCAGTAACAGTAAACCTAAGAAGGAAGACATTTTTAGTTATCCTTTCATACCTTTAATCCTCGAACATTTACATTACAGGTGAGAACATCTCTAATCATCCTAATTTCTAATAATGAAAGCTCAGTGGACTTCGCAAACGGGATATAACATGGAGCTAATAGAAAGACTGCGCAAATGGCATTTTTTCACTAATCGCCAAAAAAAATCGAATTACGAGATTTATTATGAATGCTTTACACTGCTATTATAATATAGGCCAAAAGTTTTTCAAAATAACTAACTTTATAACCTATTTTCTCCCTAAAGCTTATCATTTGAGATCAAATTGAGAAATGGCATAACCGATATGAACCAACCAATTCAAAAAGAGTGTAATTAGATTCTAATGCGACTCTTTTTAGGAAAGTAAAAAATTCACCACTAATAAATCCAACACCCATGCGATGCAGTTATTGATATACGGTAACGAATTATGAAACAACAGTAATCCATAAAAAGTTACAGTACCCAAATATCAATATAACACGAAATAAATCACATGAAAAGTTACGTTACAGGGATTAAGTACTACATGGCATTATCTATCATTATCTAATTTCTAAATGGGTCTACAACGGAACGAGAAAGAGTGAAGTAGGAAATGACCAAAATGCTATCTTTCAATACAACCGTATTCTATACTAAATAGATAGGAAGGAAGAAAGCAAAATATAAGAGGTAAATTGTACCTCCGGAAAAAGGACTGAACTAAATATGGTGGTGACGTCTTTGCATGCATAAAAATGTATGGAAAAATTGATACCGATTAATGGAACAAAAGGTAACTTCTCGAAATTTCTCCCAAAGTGTTGTTCTAAGAAGCAGTCTATCAAGCCTTAAATGTAATAGTATTGGAGTACAATTTGTACCAAATTCTATTCACTAACTCACACGTGACATTTAGCCTAATGTGGATTTGGGAAATTGAAATTGACAGCGTGAATTCTTGAAATTTAATTTAGGCACTTGAAAGAGCACAACAACATGAAGTCTAGAAATATAAACCCTAAATAAATCAAGTATACCTCATCGTAGGTAGAAGTTTTAGACCCATGAATTTCAGAAGCTGTTGCTGAGTTACCACTTCTCACCGGTAATCGAGACCGATATGTCTTATCACTAGCTGCTCCAACAGATTCCAAATTCGCTGTTGACGTTTGCATTGCTGATGCAGAAGGAACACATGATTTTTTCATTGCAGTTGTGCTAGGAGACTTTACTGTACGCAAATGCGGTATACGTGATTGTAGCTCCGGTAACCGGCTAGCAGAAACTGTATTACTTTCATCAGATCTGATATCGTATTCAGCTTTCTCAAACAGCTTACGATCATTTTTCGTAAAAGTGTCAGTTCTAACTATCTGAGAAGATGAAGGCGCGGTAGCAGGAATAGCAGGAGTGGTCGTAGCAGGAATATTCGATAGCCTGTCGTGGTGACTATTTGTTATGGATGGATGTCGAATTGAAGAACAATCGTTGGTTACAGTAGGATGAGCATGTCCATTGATTACAGTGGAATTTTGGAAATCTTCTTTTTCCGGTAAGACTACGTAAGTTTGGTTCAAATTTCTGTTGATCGAAGAAATCGGTGAACAAACCATCGATTCGGTATATATTTTGCTGGGTGAAATTTTACATGTTGATGCCGGAGTAACTGGACTGGAGATTGGCAATCCGGAAGATTTCATTGAAGAATTGTTTTCCGAGAAATTTCTTGGAATAAGCGACTGTCGAATATTTGAAGTAGTCGAAACAGATGGAACATGTCCCAGTGGTGATGTGCTATTGTTGACAGGCTGAAATTTTTATTCTATTTTAAATTAATTATGACTAGCAAGAGAATCTTTTTAAACCTTAAATTTGTTCATGTTCGATTCATTTTAATAAAATGCAACAGTAATTTAAAATTTTAAATTTAAGAATTGAGATTTAAGTCTTAAAAAAATTGAAGATCTAAGAAATTTTAACAATAAGTTTCTATAATATTTATATGCAGATATTTAAAGAATTTCTAGAGAAATAAAATCCTAAACATGAAAAATTTTTAAGGAGCTAAAAAAATTCTAATTAAATTAAAATAAAAAACCATGCAAATTTTAAATGTCACAAAATGCGCATGATATCTCTGCTGTTATCAATAAAACATGTGCCCTTATCAGTTAAGCAATTACCCTCTTCTTCGGATAAAAACATACGGTATTTTAAATGATTGTAATTATTTCAACAATATGCTATGTAAATTTAAACTTTCAAACTTTTTAACTATGAAATAATCAGTTTCTAACTATGAAAACAGTTTCACAAAAAAAGAAAAAAGAAGGCAATTAAGATTGACAGGTAGATAAAGAAGAGTGAAATCGTTGAAAAAAATTCAACGAATTTCAACTATTTTTTCTAATGAAAATCAATAATAACTGTTATGATATATGAAGTAAATTATAAGTAAAGACGTACGCAATGCGTGGCTGACATATCTTGCAATGAAATACGCGCTGGTGAAGCACAACCCATTTGAGAGCTATTGTTGCTAATAGCAATTCTTGTGACATGATTAGTTGCGGATCGGGTTGAGGCTGTTGCTGATGCTACTGATGCTGGTGATCCCAAACATCGAGGTGTAGATTCTGAAATCACTAATGAATCATTTCTTTCTATGCAAACAAATTATCCATGAATTATCGAGGAAGTAATTTATTGCATTTCTGCAATAGTGCTATCAGTTATATAAATGTTTCTATTTATTAAGCCAATACGAATATTAAAAAAGGAAAAAAACTTTTCCCTAACATGGAAAACTTTTCAATATGAATGAATAAACTGATGAAATTAAATTTGAATATAAATTTATCAAACAGTAAGTAACCTATTAGACTTTCATAATTTATGTAGGAGTTATTAAAATTAAATAAATTTATTTTTTAAAAATATTTTCAAAAATCATCACATTTACTACAATTAACGACCTATTTTTGCATAATAAAGGAATATGGTTCCAGGAGAGATGTTTCTTTCACTATTATTTAAAAATAATTTATACCTTTTGCTGAAGTATATTGCTTTCTTGAAGCAGAAGGTGACTTATCAAGCTCTTTGATATTGCTAATTTGTTCGTAACATGTCGTATCCTGCATAAAGAATACTTAGGAATACAGAAAATACGATATATCAGACAAAATGAAATGACAATCAACTGTCATTTCATTTTGTCAAAACCGATTTTCATACACCGATAAATTTTCTAATAAATAAACACAATGATTTCTTAATTCTGTCCAAAAAGACTGAATTTTATAAATACTCAAATTTGTTCAATTTTTTGTACGAAAATTGATCAAACTGTTAATTTTCTTGATGACAAACCTTGTTGAATAAAGTACCGATTTGTGGTGAATTTGCATAACCTTTGATTGTGGCTGCAGCATCATTGCTTGCAATACCATTACTGTTCAAAATGCACTTATCATTGCTACAAAATAAAATTATTACAAATCTATATAATCCAAAGATATAGCTTAACGAATTATTAAATTGCTACGCAAATGGATTTAAATATGAAATTGATTTTTGAGTGCTATCAAATTTCTTATAGAACCTGAGAAAAACTGACTTTGCAGCAGATCCTTCAGGAGAAAAAATAAGATCAGGTACAGGTAGTCCTGCTGAAGCACCAACCTAAATAAAATTTTAAAACGCAAAGATGAAATCTATCAGTTGATTCAGATTTAATCTTAGTATTTTGTAGAATCATCCAAGGAAAATGTTGTAGTAATCTTTTGGCACATTACGGGAGTGGATTTTGGTCAAAATTCTTTAAGAGATTACTAATTATATGCAACTTTATAATCACTACTAACCTGTTTTTTGAAATCATTCCGAATTTGTATCCGTTTATTCAGCAGGCTCTGCCTTGGACCGTATCGTTGCGATGGTCGTCTCTCAAACGTGGCTGATTGTCGTCGAGAAAGTCGTCCACCATCTTTGTGTACATTTTCGTACTCCGTTCGACCTCTTTTTTAAAATCTCATTTCATTTGATGAAAATTCTAATGAAATATTCTGATAGAAGAAAACTACCACAATGTTATCAAAATTGAATGGCAGCATTGTGAATTAAAACAAAGTAGATGGAGGTTATTATTCAGTTTTGACTTATTTAATTAATATTAATAAAAAATAATGGGAACGAAAAAAGCATTACCTATACCGGAATGTGCTACCCAATCGGAATAGTTGTGATGCTTTAGCAATTCGTGGCTTGTGATATTTTAGCCGAAAGAATGTGTGATGTTCAATTGCACATTTCCATAAATGCTTGCAAGCTTTATGAGACGATAGATTGAACACAAATGTATGCAGCTGCACTTGTCCACTCTTTTATATAAATGATTAAAAACATTTTTAAATAATATAATTTAAGGAAAAGAAAAATGAATAGAATCAAACTAAATAAAGATCAAAGGCCTGCATGTAGTTTACCTGAATTAGGCTTAGTAAAATTATTAGAATAATGATTTCTTCCTCTTTCTGTCATATTGCTCTATACAATAATTTTTCTCTTAACTAACATAAAGAAACCAGAAAATAAATTACGCTAAAAATTGAAATTGAGGTTTGAGAATTAAAATGCATACGGTTTGATCAGCATCCTCCTCAACGACAAGAGTGATTTTTCGATTCTTGAAATCAAGTTTCTGAATCTTTTCCCATAAAAATAAACCAATCTTTTGAGCACCATCAAATACCACCATACCGGTTGGTGTTAAACCCAAACTGTAATATCTATCTGTTTTTTTCTTTTTCATCCTAATTTACACTAATTTACTCGATCTTCTTACTCATTTTAAAATTTTCACATAGACTGTGAATATGTGAATCTATGATAAATAGATTTACCTAATCACGTTTGATCAAGGAAGTATGAAAAGTGAAGAAATAAGTAAACCTATATAAGTTGCCATCTTTTCCTTCAACAGTATGCATATCAACACCATACAACTCGATCCATTTTGCTTTATTCAAATAATTTATTTCAGCTGTGGCTGGTGATTGTCCTCTAAAATACATTCGTTCTATTTTTTTTCCATTATTTTTATCAAAAATAAATAATTTTACCTTTGTAATTTATCATTTTATGCATTTGAATGTTTAAAGAATAATACCGGCAAGTGATGAATTTTTCCAAAATAGCAATTTCCATTTCTTCATCTTGTTCAGGATGAAATCGGAATTCCGAAATTAGGGCAGGTGTGTGTTCCGTTAAATTGTAATCACCAAGTTCCGCTGTAAAATCAAACTATGTAAATTTGAGAAGATTTGTTTGCTTTAAATTAAAGTCTAAAATATTTTATATCTTATATTATTTCAATTGCAAAATTTGTGATTGATAAATTCCTCAGTATTCTTTAATGCTTCATTATTTAAAAACTATTTAAATAAATTAAGGACCTTTTTAACATACTTAATTTATATTAACTAAAGATATTGTTAGCACCGAAAAGGGAAATTGAAGAAAAACATGCCTTTCTTACATTTTTCAAAGATTGGAGTAATTTTTTGATAATTCTAATCAAAGATAATTTTGAAATAAAATTTTAACGGATTAATTATAAATGAATGAAATACAGACATTGTAGAGCGAGAGCAGCAAGTTCAATAGCTGTATCTTTGGGGCATTCCAATCTTCCCGTCTGAATATCTTGTTTCAGTTGTAGGAAGAACTGATATCTTTAAAAACAGAAATATTAGAAGATCAATAAGTGATCTGATTAATGGGTATCATCAGTAAGAGAATCAATTGATAAATTATCAAATTTATTCTGGATCTGATAATTTATCTGGCTACTGTTATCACTCTAACTTTTTCATCTGCAATTTTCTAAATATTATCAAATTTTTAATTTCTTAATCTGACAAATTTGATTTAAACTTGAAAACTTGGGAAAATTTACCTTGTTAATTCCTCGCGTAAGTTATTTGGTTCTGAAGAATAGAATTTTACTCGAAATCGAAATGTATACGGTGGGCCTATTGGCACTTGCTTATTAATTCGCTTTATCGGATCTAACCAATGCTGAAATTAATATTTTTTTTGTAAAATATAAACATATCCAGAAATAGATAACTGGGCACTAATTAGTTGTCCAAAAATAGATAACTAGGCGCTAATAAGCTAACCGAAGGCATTCCTTACTGATAACTTTATTTCTTTTCACCATATCCAACTTTCAAGGATTCACATTTACTAATCTTATCACCAAATCCGGTTTTCAGATTTCTTTGATAGAAGACCGTATGCAAAATTCAGCATGTAAGCCGAAATTTAAAGTGATCGCTATAAAAACGAGAGAAAATTCTAACTATACTAAAAATACTTTTACGAATAATTAAATCAACTTGAACTAAAATAAATTGAAATTTCAAAAGACTTAATTGAATCAAATTGAAAGAGTTGAAAAATTACAAATACCTGCACATGATAATGATCCATAAATTGCAAACCAAAATAATCTCGTTCTTCTAAATCCAATGCATAAAATACTTGATCATATAACTCTCGACCAGCAGCATTTTTCTACAAAATGGAAAATTTATTATTGAATAGTTTGAAGTTGAAATTTATAAAAACATTTTAACAATATGATCAAAATAAGAGCCAAATGAGAGATGCGATTAACTTCAAGATAAACAGACTATGGAATCAATTTTCTTATTCAATTTTTTGGCCAAGAGAACAAACAAGCTTTCGGAGAAATCAGTAAGGAAAAATTCTGTATGGATATTTTTCTTTCTAAATTTATAAACACAAATATCAAATGATAAACAAGTCATTTTGATCACATTTTAAACAAACAAAAAAATGTACCGAAATTATGACATTCATATCCGTACCATCCAACAACAACACTTTACACTGACATTGCTTTCGAGAATCCATTTCTGGTTGATCAAATCCCTATAATCTTCGTTACAATCATCTATGAATGTGTAAAAGAATTCGAAATAATGAAATCAAAAATATAGAAATTATTGCTTAAATTAATTTCTCCAACAAAAATTGCATTCTAATGAACCAAAACTGTTCGAAGTATTTTTATAATTTTTAATATTAAAGGAATAAAAAAAAATAAGGGAAAAATATCATTTTAAAAATGATCCAATCCAATTATCAATTAATTAATTGTTTGTTTGAAGCATGAAAAAGGATATGCTATAAGATGAAAATTGTAATTTATTTTTAAATCCTGAAAGCTAGCGTGCTTACAATCAATAAAATAGCAAAATGAGCTAATTAAAAACCAAAATTTCCATTAATTAAACCGTTGAAATCTGTTTTATAATCTCTTCACCAAAAATTTTAACATGAAAATTGATGCTTAGAACAATCAATTTCAGGATTACTTGATATGTTGCATATGCCGGATTCAATTTTTGCATTGCTTATCCCGAAAGATATTCCATTTTCGGATTTTAGCTGTCGAATACTAATTGTAATTCAAGTGCTAATTAAATGATTACCGAGTTCAATTATGTATTACTTATTCTGAAAGAGATTCTGCTTTCAGGTTTCAGCCGTTGAGTATTAATTGTAATTCAAGCGCTAATTAAATGGAGAAGTGAAATTGATTAATGCATCAACTAGATTGATAAATTTAATTAATCTATTTGATAAAGAAACAGCATAAAAAGTAAGTGATGATAAAACTGCGACGACTAAACAATTACAACAAATGACATAATTGGCATATGGATAAGGAGCGCAGTTTGTAACTAATCAAATAATCTAAGATAAATTATTAGTATCATTTGCAAAACTGATATCGATGATATGAAAAAAAGTGATGAAAGGAATTATACATTTTCGTATTACAATAATAATTTGTTTTGGGATAGGCTGTGATTAACGCTCAATGGAACAATAATAATACAACAGCCAAATAACGCTCATAAAATACATATTGTACAATAGAAGTATGTTATATGATGTAAATAGTCGATCAAAATATTTTTCTCCATTTAAGGGAATCACGTTTTTCATAACATTATTTGCTATACTTTAAGAGATGATCATCGTATTCTATTCCGAAAATAATATTCTCTAAGATATAAATGCTATATTTTTTTTATACCAAATATAACAGATTTAAATTTCTTCTATTTCTATATCCGAAATGGAAACTTTTATCGGTTCATATTTCCGGTTTTGTTAAAACTTATATTTGAGCTCAATTAAAGATAGCAATTTAAAAATGATAAAATTTCTGGACCGGAATTTTGAATATATAGCGAAAGAAAAAAAAAAGAAATCAGATGATAATAGCATTGGCGCAAAATGCTTATCTTAGTTTATATTGCCATTATTTAATCATCTTATCAATGCTACATTATCACTTTTTAAAGCAGAAGGAAAATCTGTAAAAATAGAAAGAGAAGAAAAGAAAAGCTATGAATTTCCCTTTCGTTCTCTTCTTTCATCTTTAAAATAAAAATAAAAAACGAAAGAAATAACGGCGTAAATTTAACTGACAAGATGGCTTTTAATTTTGACAGCCTCATTAAATATGCTTGTCCCACAAATCCAAATTTGAAAAATTTAGTGAGTAGTAATAGTAAAGAAAAAGAAAGCCGAAATTCAATGAAATCGAAATGACATTATCAATATCGATCACCCGGCGACATTCTCCCTATGACATAATGTTTTGTTGACTTTTTTTTTTTCAACACTCTGTTATGATTGCAATGCTTAAAATATATCGTTCATGATACATTCCAGTATATTATTTGATGAAGTGTAAAAAACTTTGACTTATTGATCAAACCAAAAATGACAGTCTATTCTCATTTCATTTCATATTGAAGAAACAGATGTGCAAGAATTTGATAAGTTAAACAGAGTAAAGAGGAATTTGATAAGAATTGATATGGATTTTATAATCCATATCAATTCTTATCAAATTATACCATTGATTTTTTTTGGAATATAAAAAAATCATCCAAAATAGTTTAAAGAATTTAAAACATTCAATTAATTTATAATCATTCTTTCACTTACCCAATAACAGTATATTATTCATATAATTTTAATTTTTGAGAAAGAGAGAAAAAGAAAAGATTAGGATGGTTTAAAAATGATTTTTGAAAAGATATGTTTGCAAGAAAATGTTTGCATCCTATCAAATTCAATGTTTTTCTGATGGCAATGCTGAAAGTGTAAATTTGATGAAATTTGAAATGTTAAAAAATTGCAGAAAATGGATATCAAAGATGAAAGAAAAAGGAAAAATTAATGTTCACAAATTTCAGAATGATATTGTAATGGATTAAAGGAAGATATCTACTAAAAACTTTTTCCTTTAAATCATATAATTATGGTTTAAAATGATTTTCGAAAAAAGACATGTTTACATCTTATCAAATTCATTCTTTGTTTTTCTGATGGCAATGCTGAATGTGTAAATTTGATGAAATTTGAAATATTGAAAAATTACATACAACAGATATCAGAGATGAAAAAGAAAAAGAAAAAGGAAAAATTGATATTCACAAATTTCAGAATGATATTGTAATGGATTAATAGAAGATATCTATTAAAAACTTTTTCCTTTAAATCATATAATGTAACTTTTTTTGAAATTTAATGGAAGTTAACCATGGCATGTATCGATGTTAATGTATCGGTGAAAAGAGCTCAATGAAATAATTTCTCATTCGATCCTTAATCGGTAAAACTTTTTTTTACAGCCGATTTTTAGCAGTTAGAAAATTTTCATCATTTCCATTTTTTTATTTCTTAGACAATTTTTTTTCCTTTTTTGAGAATTACATTTTTAGAAACGACTGTTCACCATTATAAGCATTTAAAAAAATCTCTCTCTCTCTCTCATAATGAAAGTTGAAAAAGGAAGTACGCGTTATTGTTAATATTCAATTGATGGCAATGAAAATCAACCTACCACTTATAACTTCTAACTTATCTCTCTCTCTCTCTCTCTCTCTCTCTCTCATAATGAAACTTGAAAAAGGAAGTACGCGTTACTGATAATATTCAATTGATAGCAATGAAAATCAACACATCATTCATAATTTCTAACTTATAAAAGTTGCAGTTTTGATTCATTAAACATTACACTCTGTGAATTTAACAAGAAATGAGATGATTGTTGCAAAATTTTTATAATAAATAATAAAAACCTGCTGATATTCGCTAGTTCCAGCAGTATCGCCATCTGGATGATAATGTCTTTTTGAACGTCGAAAACGCTGGCTTAACGATCGGAATAGGCTTGCCATTATCGAACGTAAGAGGAGGTCAAAAACTGAGGCAAATCTATTGCAAGTCGTATCCTGCAAAATATACGAAAAGTAATGATATAAAGAAAACAGGTTACTTGACATCACCCAAATAAGAATACTTTGAAACTATTTGTTCTTTTTTTTTTGTTAAGAAAAGTTCATAATTTTTATTGGAAATTTAATTCTTGAATACCTAAATTTGCTTTATTCTAATTTAAAATTCAATCCTAAAATTTAACATTTCATTTTGATGTTAAAATAATCCGTCAAAATAAAAGTGAATTAAAAATTTTTGAAGTAACTTTTCTCAATATTTTACATTATAAAAATTCAATCAGCAATATTAGAAATAATTTCTAAAATTTAAAATTTAACTAAAATGCTAGCAATTAGCTCGGCAGTTTTCTTAAGCTAATAGTACATATTAAATTAAAATTATAAATTAAATGAAATATGAATTCATTAAATTAAAATCCAACTCACCTTTTAATTTAGCAATAATTCTGGCTAATACTTTGCCAATTGTAAATGATCTGCAAAAAAAGTTTTAAAATGGATTTACCGAAACGAATATTAACGCTAATCTACATGCCAAATATTATCACTTACTAACAGTATAATCCTTATTTAAAGGTCATAACCAAGAAGATATCAATTATTAACAGTACAAGGTCATGGCCAAGAGGATATTAATTACTAACAACATAACTTTTATTTAAAGATTACAGCCAAGAAGACAAGAAAATAATATATACAAATGCTAGAGAAGCACAACCTATAACTTTTAAATGACCGAATAAACATACAGCAACAGTACAACCTTTACTTGAAAGTCATGGCCAAGAGGATATCAATTACTAACAACATAACTTTTACTTAAAGATCATAGCCAAGAAGACAAGAAATATAATATATATAAATGTTGGAAAAGCATAACCTATGACTTTTAAATGACCGAATAAATAAACAGCATTCATAATAATTGTAAATAAAAATACAAATCAAATGTTCGAAATTTAAATGTGCCACAAAAATAATGAGGCGGAAAAGAATGAAATTCAAAATTATTGTATGGCATATGAAAGTTGAATCATTTTAAATTCATAAAAGTATTAAAATAGATGATTTTTAAAACTCTCTTAAATTCATCACGTAAACAGTACAGATCGAATGAATGAATGAGTGAGTGAGTGAGTGAGTGAATGAGTGAAGTGAAGTGAGGTGAGGTGAGGTGAGGTGAGGTGGTACGTACTGTCAGTAAATCACAAAGATATTTCAATTGTTTGAAGTACCACCCTCAATTCATTTTTCACTAAAAATCACTCTTCTTTAATCTCTCTGTCTTTTCATTTAAATTATCCTCACTCTCAATCTTACTCTATCTTCCTCTCTGCCTATTTCTCTCTCTCTCTCTCTCTCTCCCTTACACACATAAACACGCACAATCATAAAAAGTTGTCATTAACTAAAACGAGAATTAAGCATGAATTTCGTTTGCAAATAATGAATTTAATAATATCGTAATTTAAAAATAAATTTGAAAATAATTTGAAATTATAGAAAAAAGAAATTGTACAATAAAATTGTACTGAAATGATATGAATTATTGCAATTATCATTAATGATATTCATTTTAACAAGAAA